AGTGTGTTTCGTACGTTGTCATTTTGACTTTATATTTTATGCTTTAGTTACCATGGCTTAATTTATTACTGAATTTACAGTAGAATTGATTTAATTTGATTGCACATGTAAACAATATTTATTGCCATGGTTACATAATTTATTAGTGTATGTACAATATAATTGCAATGTAAATTTGTTTCTTTAATTTCATCAATTTTATATAATAAAAATAATATTTCTTGAATTTAATTACGGCAGTCAATAAAAATTTTTGTTTACTAACTTATCATTAACTTATTTTTTTTTAATATTTTCCGTTTCCTGGTCAAAATTCATCTGATTTAAAATTGTTAACTATATATAAGTAAATAATTACATACAAAACTTTACTTTATACGTATGTCGAAAAGCTTCTATTTCTTTGAATAAATCTAAATTACTAATTTCTTCCATTATCATACCTCATCTTGAAAATATTGTGATATAATTATTGCATTTTATATAGATAATAAATAGTCAAAGTTGCCATGGTAATAATTGTTATGAAGAGAAGACAAAGAATCACAATGATTCTTGAAATTATTGTGATATAATTGATGAATTTTCATGTATAATCATTTTGTATCATAGTTAAAGTTGCAATGATGGCTATGAGAAGTAAGACTCAAAATACTACCATGTGGGTCCCCAGATTCAATTTTTCTTTTGATATAATTTCTTCTAGTTACCTGAATATGACTTATTCAAATTCAGTTAGTAAAGTATTCTATTATACTTTATTGAATGAATTCTGAATATTATCTTATGTTCTCCATTTCCAACTTATTTGTTTTTCTTAATAACGATGCATATGTGATCTTGGAGAATTTAATTAGTCAGATTTTTTTTGGATGTATCTACTTCGCAGAAAGAACATTAATGAAATGATTTCGCATGGAAATGTTTGTTGTCGCGATTAAAAATATAATGAATCGATTTATACTATAAATATTTATGTTATGGTCAGAAATAGCGTTCGTAAGTCTAATTCCGTTCGGCCGAGGAGGCATTGGCAGCCGCCAGTTGGATGAGCGGTGAGACAGAGAGGGAGAGGAAATCGCATTCCTCGATCATCCATCCATCCTTTGATACAAGCTATCACCATTTTTCTTCGCACTTGTTCTCACTCGATCACAACTTATTCATCATCCTCAACCTCCACAAACAACGCCGTTCGATTTAGTCCAACTTTAGTTATAAATATTTGACTCATGCCGCGAATATTTCGGTGCCGGAGACAAACAGCGCTCGCCCAAATTCCGCTTGGACCGACTCCAAAAATTTGCAATAAGTTTAGAAGTACACACCGAATCGGACATTTTTAATTCTGAAAACATTCGGTTACTGCTGCGCGCCCGTCGTCAAAGTTCGAATTGCTAATAGCTTATTATAACATATACATTCTTTTTTTCTTTGTCTTCACCATTTATCAACAGGTTTAATTAACTTTTTGAGAATGCATGTAAAACGCCTACCATTAAATATAGCAGGATGACAGCAGGCTTACTTCAAAGGGTTGCCACGTTCTATCTTCTGTTTCTGCGGTTGACACTTCCGGCTTATTTATCACTGGGGAAAACCATAAATCCGTAACGCGTTTATGACACAAGTTTTGAAATATAAATGTCACGAGCTTTACGATCCGTGCGATTTATTGATTTTATTAAACGACCTGTGTTTAAAACGAACATTTGAAGACACACACACATCAATTGAAAAGTTTCAAACAAAATAAATCTGCTTTATGAATTGACATATGTCTTAAATAACAACAGAAGAACGTACAGCATTTGTCGTGCATATGGAAAAGTATACGTTACATCAGGAATTCCCAAACAGTCTAACTACAAGGGCACCGCAAGAAACGGAAATTCTTATATATTAACATAAAGTTCGCCATGAGATAAACCAATCTTTTGATTTGGGGCGAAAAAATTTGATATATTAAGGATGTCGCAAACCCAAAAGTTTGGGAACCCCTGCGTTACATTAATTAGTAATTTCGATTTAATTTGACTTGCTTAAGTAGTACAGTTTACTTTTTATTTAATTAATCCAAGAATTTAATTTAAATGAAATAAATTATAAACTGACATCTACGTGAAGTAACAACCAAAAAATTTACAATATTTGTCTTGCACTTGAAAGAGTATAATTTGCCATATTTAGTAATATAAATTTAGTTATAAACTAACGCAGTGTCGTTAAGTTATTTAAAAAAAAATAATTACACATCAAGAGTTTTAATGAAAATTTTGTCTTAACAGAAATAATTGAAAAACTTGCAAAATTGAATATGGAAAAGTATAATTTACATTAATTACAAATTTAATTTTAATTACCTTTTTATTATTAGTTTATATAGAATAGTTTAGTTATTGAAACAAATAAAATCATAAACCAATCGAAGATGAATAGAAAACAATTTATAAACTGACATCTGTCATATATAGACAATTTGTGATTTATTACTTTGAAAATCTCTGAGTTGGTTTCTATTTAGAAAACAGAACGATTCGTCCAGAAATTAAAAAAGAAAAATGTTGACAGTTATAGAGAAAGATGAAATTTAAAGAAATCTCTCCGATTACGCTCAATCGTCAAGGAAAGTTTTATAGTTTTGGATCGTCCGAGTTTGTATTCTATATTTACACTTTTATAGCACTTCCACACCTGAATCTCATAATCGTTCGTTTCCATAAATAAATCGAGGAGACCCACATCGGTTACATATTACCTCGCCTCTTCTCCCAAACAATCGTATAGAAATTCATTCAAATCTTTTTCTCTAGACATTCTCCATCTTTACGAATCCAGAATATATGTATCCTCTTATATATTTTTTTTCGATACTTTACTGAATCACTTCGAGTCTCATCAAATAGAATGTTCTGAGTAATTTGGCTTACGACCAAAACGCCTGTATAACTAATCATAATAAGATATTTTTTTTCTTGCATTCAATTTATATAATATTTAAACAATATTGTTATTGCTTCTATAATATCATAGATAAATGAAAAAGTAGTGTATTATATCATTAAAAAAGAAATTAATTTTGACATCTCTCAATTTAAAAATATTTAAATGATTTATTCCACTTCATTTTATAATTGTTTGAAATATTTAAAATTTAAAGTAAAACTAATTACAATGATTTATAATAACTTACTAATGCAGTAAGTAAAACTAAATTTAAATTATTAATTAATGTAAATTGTAATTGTACGTTTTTTGTTTGCCATTTTTGACAGATCACAGTTTATAAATTATTATGAATGTCAAAATGGAAATGGAACGAACGACGCATTATGTCTAGGTTAATGAAAGTTAGACTGTAGAAGCCAGAAAGCAAAGATGAAAAGTTCAAAGTTGTTCGAGTGTTTGATCGTCTGCCAATTTATTTAAAGACGCCTTCCTTAGGGAACTCCCTGCAAAGGATCATTGAATTCAGGTGCAGAACATGAACATTTAAGATTATAAAAACCCATTTTCTTTATGAATAAATCATGTTACTTTACAAATTACAAAAAATAATAAGTTGATCAAATTCAATTATTTACTATTTCAGTTCAAAGTTGTTCGAGTCTTCGAACGTTTAATTCAGATTTAAATCTTGTACATCTAAGATTATTTAATATATTTCATCTTTGGAAAAACTAAATATGATCAGAAGCAGAGAGTTTTGGTAGCTATGGAACAATGACATTTGTCAAAATATTGAATGACGTTTCAAATATTTTATATAAATAAATGACTACAAAAATTATGAAATTAACAGAAAATGTAGTTTTCTATATTCCATGGAATTACAAGACTAAGTCATGTTGATGAAACATAACGTCGAATATTTTGAATGGGAATGTCTAGGTTAATGAAAGTAAGATGGAAATTCAAACTCATTCATAATTTGCCAATTTATTTAAAAACATATTAAATTAAAGCACATTAAAATTAAATTTGAATCGCGAAATTTTGGTAGTCATGAAAACTATGGTCCATGACGTTTTAAATGTGTGATAAATGATAGTAATAAATAATGTATTTCCTAAAAAAAGCAATTTAAAGGAAAATAACAGTAAATGTATGTGATTCATAAAATGCGTCGAAATAATATCTTGCGTTTAAATGGAGCGTTCCATATATTCGAGTAAATGAGTAAAAGAGGATAATGGTGAGAAAGAAATGGTCGAAATAAACATCTTTCGGGCGTGCGAAAAGATTGGAGACTGGGAAAAGAGAGATAGGTTGAACGCTCGAAGAGTGGTCATTCTATTTCCGAGAGGAATTCTTGCAATCACAACATCCCATCTGGAGGTCTGATGAGATGTGTGAGTGTGTGTGTGTGTGTAGATATTATTGAGGAGGAACAGGTAAACTGAATGCTACCGACTGCGAGGTGGAGGATGCGGTGGAAGGCAGAAGCAGGAGCAGCAGAGGTTGTAGCTGAGGCTGAGGCTGCCTGCTACCGCTTGGGGGCCACTTGCGCTCCGTGTCTATAAAAGGACGCTCCCCCCTTCAGGTAACCTGAGATACTTTGGGCGACTCACAACAAATATAACTTGCTTCGGTCGCCATCGCGAAACGGCGCGAAAACCCAAAATAAAGGCGAAAACAGATCGGAACGGAGGACGGATTTGGGCCGGACGAAGGGAGAGCGCCTTTTTGCCATCCGTACGAATCTTGTCCTCCCTCTGCGTTTCTCTTCTTTGTCCCTCTTTGGCTTGGACAATACACGAATAATCGAAGGAATAAGGATGATCGATGAATGATGATGGTGGTGGTGGTGGTGGTGGTCGACGTAGACCAAATAAGTCGAAAGGCATGCGGCGGCAGGATTGCAGGAAAAACTGCATAAACAACGGGGCAAATTTTAAAAATAAATCGCGCCTCCATTCCAGAAATTTAGAATACTGAGTCACTTGTGCGCGCGCCTCGATGCGCATCCGTACGTTGATGCGAGGGGCGCATGTCCTGCCGGTCGCGGTGCGTCTTAATCGCGTCGCGACGCTCATACGAACGACTTAGCCACCACTGAAAGGCGGCGTCGGCACGCGGGGTTTCATTTCTGAAATTACGACGGTCAGTGCACCTACGAAACAACAAAGATTTTTTTGATATAAATATATTGTAGAGTATACTTAAAAGAAAAAAACAAGGGATTATCCACGATGTCTTCCTCCTCTGCCGTGAGGACCTCCAAATACTCGTACCGATCCACCCAGGGCGGTAACGCTGATGTCAGCATCGAATACAGCGCCGATCTTAGCGCCTTGACCAGGCTCGAGGTAATACAACAATCTCCCATTACATTATTACATAATACATAAATATTATTAACAATACTCACCCAATCAAACTACAAAGTAAACTCAACTTACTTAATTACCATGGATAATCCTTACTAAAACATTCAGAGATTCAGTTTTGACATTTTCGTGTGCCAGAAATCAGACACCCTGACTGACTGACGTCAGGCGAGCGAGTTTAAATTTGGATCGTGCTGAAACCCAACACGAGATTACACAATATCGCATATTCGCAATTTTCTTCTCCCCTCGACATTTTCATACTCCACATTAATTAACCCTCTGTTCTCTTATTTGTTGTTGTAGGACAAAATCCGTCTCTTGCACGATGATCTGGAATCCGAAAGGGAACTCCGTGGCAGGGTGAGTATCTATTACCAACAATCATAGTTAAAATACACATAAACTAAATCCATTATTTCACCTAAAAAAAGACCTATATATTATATATAAATTGATTGTATAATTTGGATGACCAAAATCTTGCCAACTTGTAACTTAATACTAGAGACACCGCATCCATAAATCACAACATATCATCATTTACAAATATCAATATTAAGACCATATTCTAATAAGAAATATTAATAATTATAGTTATGACCAACCTTAAATTGAGATCAGTACTACCAACTGTTTGAACATAACTATAAACATATGTTTATTGACATGTTTATGATATTTCCTTAATAAGATAAACATAATATTTATTTTTTTAATCAGTCGAAAGCACTAAGTTATTGTCAAATTACTTTTGTAACTGTTGAAGAAAAAAGAAACAACAAAACTATTTTTAAGAGATTATTGCCAACTTTTGAATTAAGAGCAGTGGCACCAACGTTTCACGTTCCTCTCTACCTGTCAGCTGTCAAAATCGTTACTGGTTTACGAATTCTATTATTAAATACACATAAATACAATTAAAAGTGGCGTTGAGTGAGGAAAGTCAAGAAACGTTTTCACAAATTGGAGTGGGTTCTATGAATTCGTTCGAAATTTGACCCACATCAGGATCAGACTCGTTCGAAGCGAGCGATGACCAGGTTTGGCAACTACATTTATTTTGGTATACCAAATTAGAATCTTTAGTTTCCTAATACATATTTATTTACACGATAAGCAAACGGTCCAGAATTCAAACATATTGATTACCAAATACATATTAATTAATTATATCCAAATTACGAGCAATCTCCAAGTATGAAACAATGACAGATTATATTGTTGCCATGGCAATAGTATTTTGGTGATATTATCTGATGAAATTGGGTGTTTCGTTAAGTTTGTGTTTTTTTTTTGTTTCTTCTTCCGAAATCTGAAGAAAAAAAAATGTATGAGTCAATGCTGGGTTAAATTTAGAAAATTCGTGCGCTCAGATTTTTTTTGTGCGAGTCGTCGGTAATGTGAGCGAGTGCACACGGGATGGAGAGAGAGTAGTATCATCTCCACATAATTTCTCACAATATTTCGGCAGTCCGGATTAATTTTAAAACCGACCAGAGTCGGTGTTTCTATTTTCGGGCCATCGCTTTTGTATTTCCACTGTATGTGAAGCGAGAATGAGAGAGAGAGAGAGAGGGAGATGAGGAGCGAGAAAGAGAGCGCGTTTTGCTGGCTCGTTAAAGCTAAGTGGACCAAACCCGTCGGATACTTAATTTTATTCTTAAGTCATTGAAGAAGAAAAAGAAGAAACAAATGAACAGAAGGGAAATAAATTAGTACAGTCACATCTAATTGGAGGTACCTTTTTAAATTTAATTTATCTAGTAGCTTACTGTCAGTTAAGTGTAGGGTACAAGAACGATTTGGTATGGGTATACTGATACTGCCATGAGGAAAGGTGGATGCGCCGGGTACATAAGTGAATTAATTGTTTTATTGATTAGATAATTAAATTTCAATTAATTACATTTTTTAACTTTAATATTTTAATAATAAAATACATATGTATTAATAAAATTAAAATATTTTTAAAAAATATGGCGTATCAAATGTTACCAATATTAAATAATTTATATTTTAGTATCAATATTTTTTGTCCATTGGTAACAATTAGTATTAATTAATTAGGTTAAATATTGTTGATATTGTAAAGTAGATGCAAAGTTATTGTGGATTGGCTTGGAATGTCTGAATATAATTTAAATAATTGTTTTTGAAGAAATATTAAGTTTGGTATTAACATTTTTTTATATGCGTTATTATAGATTGAAAGGGAAAAGGCTGACCTCAGCGTCCAAGTTATCCAACTTTCCGAACGCCTGGAAGAAGCCGAAGGTGGTGCCGAAAGCCAGGTAATTTATAGAACAAAAATAAAAAAAGACAAGTATTAATTCTGAAAAAGAACGATTAATTTCTTCAATATCAATATTTGCAGTTCGAAATCAACAAGAAGCGTGACACCGAGCTGTTGAAGCTCCGTAAACTCTTGGAAGATGTCCACATCGAATCCGAGGAGACCGCTTCCATGCTCAAGAGGAAACACCAAGAAGTTGTCGTTGATTTCCAAGAGCAGATCGACACCATGGCCAAAGCCAAATCCAGGTAATTGATAGCTGCTTTGGCTTCGAAAGAAACTGTAGTAGCAGCGGAATCTAACGGAAAAAAACATAAATAATACAAAAAAGAAATAGTCTAAACAGTGTGGAAAAGTCGTAAACCGTGGATATGTAAATTTAGCACAATCGCCGGGCGAAAGAAGAAATCGGTATCGTGTAAATATTTGGATGCGATTGGATTCGTGTGTGTCTGCGCAGAAGGTAATTGGCCTCGTTATGGAGCCACCATCCGGTGAAAAAGCAACCGCGAAGAGAATGGATCGTAAATAAAGGCCGGTAAAAGAATCTCTTTTGGACTACTCCCTCTTTCTCTGTATTTTTTTTCTTCTTCTTCCCGAAGAATACGCAATTGGCAAACAAAAGTGTTGACCCAATTTCACATCTCACGAGAAGTGGCGAGAAGACTTTTCTATTTCTGGAATTGTTTCACTGTTTTGGTTTCTTCGCTCTTCGTGTGACCCAAATAATTGGAATCAAGTTTAAATGCAAGGTATTGCGAGCGATTTATATAAAATCTGATTATTATTATTATTCGGACACGGAGCGGAGATGTAGTTATGTGTTGTGTAAATGAGGGAGAGAGAGAGAGAGAAACACAGAGAGTGCCAGAGATATACGGTGCGGTGTGTGTATGTGTTGCTATTTTTGGAGGAGCGCCGCGACGACGGCGTCGCCTCCATATTAGTCGCGGCCGTCTTCGTCCAAGTTTACTTATAACAAAATCAAACACCTTGCGAAAAAGAAAAGAATAGGTAGAAAAGTAGAAGAGCGCATCGTCTGACCTAATCCTTTCTTTGTTTGTTTCCTCCTCTTGTGGTAAAAAAGGGCTGAGAAGGAGAAGGCCAAGTTCCAATCCGAGGTGTACGAATTGATCGCCCAGGTTGAGTCAGCCACCAAGGAGCGTTTGGTTTCGGTCAAGCACGCCGAAAAGTTGGAAGTCTTCATCAGCGAACTCAACGTGAGGATCGAAGAGTTGAACCGCACCATCGTCGACATCACCTCCCACAAGACCCGTCTCTCCCAGGAGAACATCGAACTCACCAAGGAAGTCCAAGATATCAAAGTAAGATTGAAAAGAATTACATCGAAATTTCGAACCAAAATTAACTTTCTTCTCTTGTTACTGCAATTTTCAGGTAAATCTTGAAAACGCCATCTACTTGAAATCCCAATTGGCCAGCCAATTGGAGGATGCCCGTCGTAGGGCCGAAGACGATGAGAGGAGGCGTTCCATCCTGGAAGCCAGCCTCCACCAGATCGAGATCGAACTCGAATCCGTCCGCGTTCAGCTGGAGGAGGAGAGCGAGGCTCGTCTGGACCTCGAACGTCAACTCGTCAAGTCCCAAGGCGAGGTTCAAATCTGGAAGTCCAAGTACGAAACTGAAGCCATCGCCCGCGCCGAAGAGATCGAGGAGTTGCGTCGCAAGTACACCGTGCGCATCACCGAGCAGGAGGAGCACATCGAATCCCTCCTCGTCAAGGTCAACAACCTCGAGAAGCAAAAGTCCCGTCTTCAATCTGAAGTCGAGGTCCTCATCATCGACTTGGAGAAGGCCAATGGAACCGCTAGGGAGTTGCAGAAGCGCGTCGAGCATTTGGAAAGGGTCAACCTTGACCTGAAGACCCGTCTTGACGAGACCCTCGCCATGTACGAACAAGGACAACGCGACCTCCGCAACAAGCAGCAAGAAATCCAACGTCTCAACCACGAATTGGACAAGACCCGCGAACAAAGGGATGCCCTCGCTCGTGACAACAAGAAGATGGCTGGTGAGTTTACCAATATAAAAAAAAACTTGATAATACTTAGACTTGTACATGCACTGTATTCTCAGAAAATTATTAGTCAAATCGGTATTTGGCAAAGTGCAAAGTTTCAATTAAACAAATTACCAGCCAGAGTAATTGCACACTCTTAAACAAATCAAAAAAAGAATCATTACTAACTTTCAACTGAAATTCTAATTATTTCAAATTAAAATAGCACGAATAATACAAATCAGTTAAATAAGTTAATTAATAAATGCATTCGTCAAATAACAAATGAAACAATAATGATAAACACTTAGGATTTCTCAGCAATATTAAACAAATAAATTAAAATTAATTGAATAAACAAAGAAATTAAATTCATCTTCTAATAAATATTATAACAATTGATGATTTACAATACATCAAATAAGCAAAGATTTATTAATAGAAGTGAAAATAATACCATAATCTAATAGGGAATCTCCGCATCAAAATTTTGAACTCAAGTGCAAACATTGATTGCCAACATACTGCATCTCGTAACACAATTACCAAATGCTTTTCATTATTATATTCAAAAGTCCATAATTTAAAAATTATATAAACACAACATCTGAATGGCATACATTTGTATAATTATTTTCAAACATTGCTACAATAATTTAGTTGCTGAACCTGTAGTCTTTTTACAGAGTGATAATCTATTAAAAGAAATAATTGCCAGAAATAGATGCAGAGTTAAATCGAGTTTGATACAGAAATAGTATTCAGTTTGGTAAAAATAGATTACTTATGAAATCGAATCAACTGCACATGGAAGCATAATTGAAAATAACAATTTTTTATATAGAATCAAAATGTAACTTTTCACAATTTCATTAAATCTGCTTGTTACGTTCACAATTGTGGTTAAAATTAACATTATATACAGGGTGGCTTTTATTTTACATTTTTTATGTTGAAAATACTTTATTGCGTAATTAAAAGTCACTGTTTTGGACATCTTAAAATTTGAAATTAATAATTTAAGGAAACAATAATAGTTTTTTTAATGTCATTAAAGAAAACAATCAAAGAAATTTTCTGACATGTAGCAGTACTGAAGAAACTTAACGAAACACTTTTTGTACCTTAAATAATTTTTGTTTTGCAGATGATCTTCATGATGCTCGCAACACCATCACCGAGTACACTCGCCGCATGCACGAGATGGAAATTGAATTGCGCCGTCTTGAGAATGAACGCGAAGAACTCACCGCTGCTTACAAGGAAGCCGAAGCTGTAAGGATACTAAAGCTCTTGTCATACACTCTTAATTACAACTAATTGTATATTGTGGGTGTTTAGGGCCGCAAAGCTGAGGAACAACGCTCCCAACGTTTGGCATCCGAACTGAACCTATTCCGTCATGAAGCCGAGAAACGCCTCCACGAGAAGGACGAGGAGATCGAGGCCATTCGGTGAGTCAAAGTTTGGATTAATTCGATATAGATAGATCGATCGATCAACAACAAATGGTGTGTGTGTATGTATATGTGTGCGCGTAATTAAACATAAAAAGAAAACTGGCATTAAAATTGGATGCTAAAAATATGGTCGACAATGCGATTGGTTTTTGGCGTTGATGCAGGATGCAGGAGGAATGGAGGAAGTATAAAACGGCGATGCTAATAACATTTCGGGCATTGGTTATTATTTTCGCTGGTGTTCAGTCAACATCATCAGCATGTCCCGTCCGACCTCTTCCAGATACGATTGGGTCACGCATCCGGCCACAAAGGCCTACGACTATAATTACGGATACGGGGTGAACTTCTATCAGCCAATGATAGACTACATCGACGCTAAGGATAGCGGCAGACGCACAAGGTATCCCCACCTGCCGTGGACGGACGAACGTGCCTTGGACGCGTTCAGTCCCAGGAAGCTCGTCCGTAGCTACACCGAAGATGACCTCAGCAAGATAGCTAGAAGAACGGAGACGAGGGCCAAAGATTTCCTTCAGGACTTTAATGCTCGAACGCAATCATCCTTCCTGCTGCATAAGTCCGCCTCGGCCGCAAATATTACCACGCAAGTGAAATCGACGGAAGTGCGTAAGAAGAAGGAAACCGTTCGAAAGATTAAAGTGCTAAAATCGAAGATGGCAGACGAGATCGTCAACTTTGACCCGGATTTCGACCGAAAGATCACAGAAAGCCTAAAATCCGCGCAGAAGTTCCTCAGAGGGAAATCGGCGAAAGGCATCGAAGCCCAATTGCTGTCAGAAAGTAAGAAGCACATAGCCGAAGGCGTAGACATAGATCAAACGAATAAGTATCTGAAGAACGTCGTGCATAGCACGCACGATTACCAAGCGCACGCACGCCTCATGTGCAAACGCATGGAAAAAGAGGTGGACGCAAGCTTCATGCAACCCCTGGACAACCTCAGCGCCGACCTAAAGACTTTCGACAAAAAAACCTCCACCTATTTCAGCGAGAAAAGGTGCCGCCCCGACCCAGAAATAGCACACACCACAGAAACCACTTGCATAATCGACATTTGAAGCATCCTAAATATAACTGACGACGACTACTACTACTACATACATACGCATACATACATATCGCACACTCGATAACAGCAAACAATACCGATGTCGTGCCAAATACCAATTGTTCTGATCTTCCGTTTTTGTTTTCGTATGCACGCAGCAAGGCTACCAGCATCGAAATCGAGCAACTGAACGCTCGCGTCGTCGAGGCCGAGACTAAACTCAAGTCCGAGGTCGCCCGCATCAAGAAGAAGCTCCAGATCCAGATCACCGAACTGGAGATGTCCCTGGACTCTGCCAACAAGATCAACATCGACTTGCAGAAGACCATCAAGAAGCAATCCTTCCAATTGACCGAGCTGACCGCCCACTACGACGAGGTTCAAAGGCAACTTCAAGTCACCCTTGACCAATTGAGCGTCTGCCAACGTCGCATCCAAGCCCTTACGGCCGAAACCGAAGAAATCAGGGGCAATTACGAAGCTGTAATACAAAATCATCATAATCGCAATACCGATTAACATCACTAACGACAACGATCTTTCCATACTTTTGCAGGCCCTTCGCGGTAAGAAGGCCGTCGAATTGCAGTACGAGGAATCCGTTAGCCGCATCAACGAGTTGACCGTCATCAACGTTAACCTTGCTTCCACCAAGTGCAAGATCGAACAGGAATTGTCCACCATCGTCGCCGACTACGAAGAGATCACCAAGGAATTGAGGATCTCCGACGAACGTTACCAGCGCGTCCAAGTAATTACGACTTGCTTACACAAACCAAAATACCTATAGATTATCTAACCGTTTATCTCTCTTTTTTTAGGCTGAAATCAAGCACACCGTCGAAATCTTGCACGAAGAGCAAGAACGCGTCGTCAAGATCGAGGCCATTAAGAAGTCTTTGGAAATCGAAGTAAAGAACTTGTCCGTCCGCTTGGAAGAGGTCGAAGCTAACGCCATCGTCGGAGGAAAGCGCATCATCAGCAAACTGGAAGCCCGCATCCGCGACATGGAATGCGAATTGGACGAAGAGAAGAGGCGTCACGCCGAGACCATCAAGATCCTCCGCAAGAAGGAACGTACCGTCAAGGAGGTCATGATCCAATGCGAGGAGGACCAGAAGAACATCCAACTTCTTCAAGAATCATTGGACAAGACCTGCCAGAAGGTCATGGTCTTCAAGAGGCAACTCCAGGAACAGGTAAATGCAGTTGAAGATGTGTTAACAAACGTAATTCTAATCTATCTAAATTATTTCCTTTTTCAATCGTATAGGAGGGTGTTTCCCAACAGAGTGTTACTCGCGTGCGCCGTTTCCAACGCGAATTGGAGGCCGCCGAGGACCGCGCCGACACTGCCGAAAGCAGCTTGTCTCTGATCCGTGCCAAACATCGCACTTTCGTCACCACCAGCTCAGTGCCCGGATCCCAAGTCTACTTAGTACAAGAAACCCGAACATCGTCGTCTGAACAGATGTAAAAAGAAAATAACACAGAACAGCAAAAATAAGAACAGAAAACGCAAAAGTAACCAGATTTATTATTTTTTATTATTATTTTAATTATTATTAATCCCCCAATTATTGTTATATTTTCAGCAAAGACAGCATGCGAGTTTATAAATGAAATGTGAAATAGAACCAATAACAACTCTATATCTTGGAACTTTGTAAGAACGAAACCTTTGAAAAAATAATAATAATAAGGAAAAAAACAATATATATATATAATATATTTAGCACTTAAAAAGAACAGGAAACACTGCCCGCGAAGAGGCATTTTTATTTCGATTCATTTTTATTCTTAATTTCTTAATTATAATCGCTTCTCTAGCTTTTTCGTATAACAACATTTGGACACTAACAATCCAACATCCCGTTTTTGTTTTCTATCTCCTAATTTATCTATTTATTTAATAATAACGATTGTGATTTACTTTACTCATATATCACACTATTTATTTATTTATTTGTCATTTGATTTAAACGTAAAATAGATTTAATAATAAATAAATGAAAATATAAATATATATATATACACACACACGCACGAAACGAATAAAAAAAGCACTTGGAAGAAGTTCGTTTCAACAGTAATGTGTTCGTTTATTTCAGTTCTCTCTTTTTATTTTCTATTCTTTCAAGATACTATAGATATTACTATATTTTAAGACTAAGAAACCAAAAAAAAACACACGAAAAAGGTGGGTTAGTACAATTTATGAGAATTACCACTGCTCTATTAAACTACTTAAGTATAATACTGAGATGTAATGATGATAACTGTTACGGAAGGATGAAGAAATGTTATTTGTAATCAGATTGAAAAAAAAATAAATTGCTTGTATTATTAATACACGATTTATAACAAAGCACATATTCATTAAAATGACTAAGAAAACGAACTCATTTAAAAAAAAAGCAACAGAAAGCAAAAATAATTCATATTATTAATGTACATTATTAGCATACGCAAATACGCTCATTGTCAATGTACGATGTTTATTCGTTGTCGACTGATGGAATGGCGTAAAGGGCTGGATTCTTGCAGCAGTTTTGATAGATGCTGTCCAGTACCCACGTCTCGCGCACACACAACGCGTTCTCGTTGTGTACACCCACAACAGCACCCACGATTATCTTCGCGTTTCTTCTGCAATTTAACACCACACCCTTGCACAACCTGATGAGTTCCTTCAGTTGCTGACTACTAGGATTCGTTGAATTGCTCACAAAGATCTCACCGCAGTCCATGAAGATGTCCATCGAGTAACTGCTGCCAAACGCTTCACGTTCTCTTCTGCAAATCTAGAAACAGAACATTTGTTTATAGACACGTTCATTCATACGAATTAGAAAAAAAAACTAAAAATATAATTCGCAGTTACTTGTATATTCTTATTCAGCTCCAGATACTCGAAGGACTCCTCGGGTAACCATCTGCCGCGCTCCAACGAAGAATGCAACTTTAAAAACAAACAAACAAAATGTTGTTTTAAAACCGTAAAAATTAGCATTCCCTCTCACGGTGTTCATTTACCCAATCAGATTTCAGTATCCAAATCCCCCGTGCCATCCCCTTGACAACGTTGATAGTCCGACTGCAATCTCCCAACACCAGATGCGTGGTGTTTTTGCTTACAGTGTTCTCCACGGTAAATCCGCCCATCCTCTCCACAATTCCCTTGAACTCCGCGACCTCGTTCCTATGAAAACGAGAACATACTATCGTCGGTTTATTAACCGACTGCACGTTCCTGCGAGTCTTCGGCAACTTCTGAACCTGAACAAAATCCATCGTACTCCTCCTGTTCAGTATCGGCTTAATCGGTAGCGATTCGTCCGCGCTCATCGCTGCATTCTCATCCTCGCTGCAAGACTTTCCAGATTCCATCGCCAATTTAGCGGCGGCGTTCTGCGTCAAAATAATTGGGATCAAATCGACCGGTTCAGGTTTCTTGAACGTCACGGACGCGTTCTTGTTCTTTGGTAGCACTTTTCTAATTTCCGGTTCGATATCATTGAAGTACTGTTTCAATGTACCGTCCGGATTATAGAGTTTGCGTCTCCGCTTCTTAACTACATTTCCGTTTTGCGAGGACCCATTCTCGCCGTTCGCACAATCTTCCTGAAGTTTCTTTATCCTTATCGATTTCCTGACTGGAGGAGAACGTGGTTTTTCCACTTGGTTATCGCGATCATTGCTCGATTCTCCTTCTGCAGAATCATTGTTGCTCGCCGCATTGTTTTCCGGACAATCCGACTGAACATCGCACTCACTTTTCTGCGACAGATCATCCTCCAAATCTTTATTAATAATGCACAAGGCTTGGCTAATCTCTTCGGCCAACTCGAAGGACAAAGATGAATTTCCAAACGTGGACAGGTTATTCGCGCTGGACACTTTCAACGATAACGACTCGGCGGTGCTATCCTGAAATTCTTTCTTCTGAAGGGCGGCCGCCTCCAACTCATTGTCGTTGCCCGAGACGCGCAAAGAGAAATTATCGATGGCGCTCAAGGAGAACGGTTCACGATCACTATCAATTGACACTTTCAATGACAGAGAATCGTCGTTACTGTATGTCACCCCATGGTACTCTTCCTTAATTTCGTTCTTCAACGCCATCGACAACATTTTCCTCTAAAATGAAAAATAAATGCACTGTAATATTACACACCAACGGCGCTGTATGAGAAATAATGGTTCTTGCACTCACCTCAACCTCGGACATATCACGGTCTGTCTGAAATTAAACAAAACCTAGTTGAACATGCGAAAATAAAAGAACAGAAAAAGCATGTCTTCTTTTTTAAACATAATTAATTTATTCAGTTATATATAATTGGACAAGTTATAATCAAATCAGTAATATTATGCTATTCCTTATTTAAATAACTCAACTTACACTATTTGATGAAACCTCCAAGGAAGGAACAAGTTCATCAGTGCTGTGCGTATTATGTTTCGATTCTGTAGACAGATCCGTCGAGGAACAATCGCTGGTCAAAGATGTCGTACCCTGGAATAAGTTGTTAAGTTGTTTTAGCGGAGACTCGTAGATTGGTTACTTACGTTAGAGAGATTCTTCAAACTATCGTCCTTTTGGAAGCTGCTGTATCTGGTCTTCCGGCGTTGAGTGACGAACTTGCCAATCTCCAGCGACTGGCTCGAACCCTTTGAGAGCTGATCCGTATCTGAGTCTGCAGATTTATTGGATAAATCAAATAGTGTTTGTCTGCACAACTTCTTTGCCGATGAAACGCAGACGCTCTGCGTTCTCGATATCTTCGACGTCGACTTCGGACGACTCTCCTCGATCAGTTTACTTATATTATCGGTGTACAACATTCTCGTTCTCCTTCTATTCTTCACACTCGGACTCGGAGTTTCGCATATCACACTGTCCCCAGAAATTGAAGATATTTTAGATGTATCGGGAACAACGGAATTGCTATCGTCCAAGACACAACTGCTGTTGTCGGATGATTCGGGCAATTTAGTGCTGCTCGATTTTTTACTTTCTGACGATTTCACAGATCTGCTGCTGCTTGCTGACACGGATTTGCTTCTTTTCTTCTTAGGTTCAGTCACCACTTTGTTCTGTTCCTTTTTTATAATATCAGCGTAATTCGAATTTATGTACTGAAACAAACATGTGCATTAAGTTTTTGTAAACTTTAAATAAATTCATGTAAAAACATTTGAATGTTCAGTAATTTTTTTTTAATCTAGTAATATTAGATATTTTCATTTTATTTAGTTGGAAATGTTTGCCAACTGCTAGTTATTAGTAAATATTAGTTTATTTTATTGAGTGCACTATTGTTGAGTTGATGTTAATGAAGAGTAATTAGACTTAGAGAAAAGTGATTTGTTTAGAATACCTCACATATATCAGTTGTGTTACTGGAGACAACACCAATGGCTGGAAAATCAGACTCTGGAAGGCGTTTTCGCAAATCTTTCAATGATTGCAGCCACAATACAGAAACTACATGTTTGTTCATTGCTTTTGCTCTACGATAAGTTTCATAAGATCCCTCCTGCAATGACAAAATCCATTATATTATCGATTTATTTAAAATAACCTTATTCACAAATTTACTTTGTATATCACATGTGTTGTTTGGCTGGACAATCTGCTCATGATCTCTGCCCCCATACTTTCCATCAGAGCCTTTACACCAACAGATCTATCCTCCTTGTTGTTCCTAATCTCTACATAAGCTTTGACCCCATCCAGCAGTTTGTTAAAGGGAAGTGTAGGAAGATCAGCTGACTTCTCTGAACTTGTTGCACTCTCAGATCTCCCATTATTTTCCAGTAATCTTCTCCGGAACTGAGCTGTGGGACTCTCTACAGTGTACTTACTCTTGACTTTGTTCAATGGACTGCTTGTCGTAGCCTGCTTATACTTTTCCACAGCATCCTTGTCAGCCTTCATGAGCTTTTTCAATATAGCTTTTTTACTGGGATCATTCATCATTGATGCCAGCATTTTCTTATAGATATTCTCATCGATGGGGGTCTCTTCGGTAACGCTCTTGCATCGCATCGATTTTCTTCGATCCATCCTCTCGGGAAATTGGCAAATATAATTCAATGTGTCAAGTAAAAATCGTGTGTAAAAAATTATAGTTATAGTCTTTTTTTTTTTGAAGTTCGAATCTGATTATTTTACCAACGTTCAGATGTTATCCATTGCAGCCAACAAATACCATGAAGATCAACGTTACGAATTAAAATAACCTAACTATTTTGAACTAGATGTTGGTTACAATTACAGTGGCGGGGATACTTCACTATTTCCCCCCACATCCCTTAAATAATAATTATTATTTTTATGTAAAATTTCCTAGAATTAAAAAAATAAATTTAATTTTTGACACACATTTGAAAATTTAATTGTTTTCTTTAAAATCACTAAATCATAGGAAATTTGTTTATCTGTACATGTTAATATGATTAACAAATAATAATTAAAATTAGTTTCAAATTTTCATAAAAGAATTGTTGTCTTCAGACGTTAATTGCTTGTTTATTTTGTACAGCTATTAAATACATATTTAAATGTATTTATTTTACTTAATTACGACTTAATCACTTCATTCTTTGACGTAAACATTAGATTTGTATTTACAGATTTCATTGAAAAAAAGCAAAGGTTTTGAATGAACTTGAATTGGGATGCAAAACATGTTTTCTTTTTGTTGGAAAATAAGTGAATGTTACGTCGAAGCAATCGATGACCGAAAAGAAGAAACCAGAAAGCAAATTAATTTATTATCGTATTCAACTTTACAAAGAAACATCAATAAACATAATAAGTAAAATGAAAATCGATTTATTTAATATAGTTTTAACAGTATTTGTTGTATTTTATTTTATTTTTTTTATTTACTTTTTTTTAATTGATAAAATATAATATAATATTTCTATTACAAGTAAAAGTTAATGTTAGGGCATATATCACAAGATAATAATTATATAATTTTTTTCTTCATATTATATACTCTTCATTTTCTTTTTCTCTTTTTTTTTCCACCTATGAATTTAAAACAATCCAGAATATTTTAAATATAAATATATGATATATTATTAACTGTCTCGTTCGAGGACCGTTTCTTTTTCCTTGCATCTTTTGTTTTGGTTCGAGAATTCCTCAAAAAAAAAAAGAAAAAAATCAGGCAATATAACATTTACAAAAAAAAATAGAAAGAAAAGTAAAAATAAATAAATATAATGGTGATAAATAAAATTAATTAAAAATAAGGAGAGAAAAAAAAAACAGATTTAAAAAAAATATATATCTCAATAATAATATGAATTTATCCATCCAAACAATCGAATCGGTTGTCCTTATAATAAGAGCAATTGGCTACTACGATCGAGGCTAGATCCTTGACGGCGAACGGAGGCACCGGATGCATCAATATCTCTTGTAATATTGTTACACCGCCTTCGGCGATAACCAAATTGCAGTATTTTTCGGCTGCGAAAATTACAAACGTTATTTATAAAATTGCATAAAGCAAGTGCAATGTTGAACAACTTACGGTAGACTCTGGTGAGATTGGCCAAAGCCCAGACGGCCCATCGCTGACATTCGGGCGTATCGAAGATCTTAACTAGATATAAAATTGGTTCGAAGGATCTGTAGTTTATGTTCCGGTGACTGCCGAGGTCCCATCGGTCTATCGCGATCATCATCCGATTCAGGACGTAATCTCGACTCGGCTCCTTTATGGTCCACACTTCGGGACCATCCGACGCTATATGCGAGATCACGCCCGCCGCATTGTAACTGACTTCAATACCATCGCTCAGCGAGTCCAGGAGGTTCGAAAACACGCAGATGTATTCGCGCTTCATCAGGTAGTAACGCAACTCCCTCACCTCCGCCACGTTTCCCAGCAAACCCATCATATTCCTCAAGAGTTCTTCCTTATCCGGAAATTTCTGCAACATAATATTCAATTCTATTAATATTTCGTAGTTAGTCAACATTAATATTGAACATTATTTTAATGAAAAGATTAAAAACCATTGGAGCTAAAACGAGTGAGATATTTTCAACACAAACATTATTCGTTAATATATGTTTCATTCAATAAACTTTTCCATCTATCTCCATAGTAAACAGTTTCATTAATCTTAATGTAATGTGTGAATATCATCATTGATAATGGACTTTTCACACGATCCAAGAAGGATGTACACGATCACAATTTGAATTGCAAAATTGATGTCGCGAACTGACGATGTTATTACCTGCAAACATTCCAAAAAATACTCCATCCCGCGATTTTCCAAGAACTTTTTGCAGTTCTGCGGAGTCTCATCGGTGACGTTCCACATGGTAGACCAAGCCACCTCCAGCACATCATCGCATAAACCTTTGGCCAATCTATCCATTATGAGCCAAAGCATCTTCTACAATAAATGAGGGGAAAATGAGATTAGCGAATCAGAGCTAATAGCAGCAAACTTACAGTTATTGCACCCAGATCTCCCAATTTGACTTTCTGCTGTCGATCCACCTGGCAGGCGAGTGAATTCAGCAGGTAAATCCCGATTCGCTGCACAAAACTCTCCTGCTGCATACCATAAACGGAGTGCAGCAGAATCTCCACCAAACGTTCGTAGTCAAAAACCTTAAAAATATGATGAAACATGAAATACGTTTTTCCTTTCGAGGATTTGATACCTACCACATCCGCTGGTATTTTGAACTGACACAAAGTTAAGCATCCGTTCCTCATCATCGTGTCATCGTTCCTATGCACGCACATACCATTCAACAGTGTCGTTATTATACGTCTTTTGACTTGAAACACCTCGTGCAGTTCGACGCCTGTCCCCTTGACAATATAAAAAAGTGTAGCACTAAACAAAGAGATAAAGATGAGTTGGTGAGATGCGAGATGTGGACGGTAATCTGTACCTTCCGGAAATCTGGATATGCCTCTCGTTTATGTGCCTGTTCATCGATTCCAAGACGATGTGTAAGGCCTGTCCAATGTGCTGGCAGCTTTCGAAACGAAACAGGTGGAACAACTCGTTCAGTACCTTCTGCAGCATATCTGGACGTTCTATGTACGCCATGGCCGCTACTAAAATTTGCTCTTCATTAGCATTACCTGCAATCTAAATAAAAATAGACGACAATCAATTTTACAACTGCAATATATATGTAATACAAAGGAAGCGGCGATCATTTGAATTTCGCAAAGATTTGCAGGCTGTCGGAATTCGAATAATCGATGCATAATTGTCGACGGCCTTGAATTGAATCAATAGCTAAGCACGATGCTTAACTTTCATGATTCGATTAAATGCCATACGCGTTAGTTCACGGTCAAAATCGTGCGATACATAAAAAATATGACCACTCTTGCATAATTATAATTGCAATGCTCCGATGCATTTTGTGTAGATTATTATTAATTATTTGTAGTATTGTGTTACTGTAAATAGATATTGTCGTTAAGAAATTCTGGACTTTCATAATTATAAATTAAATCCGTTGCGTACAGTATTAATTGTTATATGAGTATGTTTTGTTAAAAATGGAGTATTTAGAAAGTATTAGAAATGCAAGCGAATTCAAGAATTTGGAAAATCAAATATATTGTAGTATCCACAACTGATTTTACTTGGCAAATATGACGAACACATTGTGTTTTTGTATTGATGGTTACTTACTAATTTTGCGGGGATATCATGTCGTAGGCAGGCGTCATGCTGAGTTTCGTACAATCCCAGAAAGTGAAGAGGATTTCCCACGCGAAGTCCCAGCCCGGGGATGTCCGAGGCGTATCGGAAGTCATCGTTAACCTCGGCCACTCCGGTACCTGCCAGATTCGTACCGGAGATGTCCAATGAACTGAGATTAGGCAGATTCTCAATAATCTTCGCCAACACCACCGATCCGCTCTCGAACTTTCCCGTCTCCTCCTTCGACTGCGATATGTCCAGATGCCGGAGATTTGTCATTTTGCAGATGGACGTTATGGCGCTATCCAGTTTGAACACGTTGTAGAGTATTAGAGAACTCAAATTTGTTAAATGTTCTATGCACTTCAGATTGCCTAATTCGCTGCTATTGGATAGATCTAAGTGAGTCAATTTGCCTAGGGGTTTCAGGAGGAGGGTGTAGAAATCGGGGAGCAGCGAATCCGCCCGTCGCAGCGTCAATCGCTTCAGGTTGTCGGCCAGGAAGATGCGCTCCTTATCGTAGTTGACCTCCATGCGCATCGGCAAACCGAACGACGAGTACGGAAACATGTTCACATTTTCGCCGATCGTCAGACTGACCAGGTTCGTGCCGAACGCGGTCAGATTCTTAATCGATTCGAGCGTGATGAACTGGCACTCGGATATTTCCAGCTCGATGAGCTTGTGCTTCAGGAGTATCTTCAGGCCCGCATCGTTGACGTTCGTGTTTCTCAATTTGACGCGCTTCAGTCTCGTCGCTGATAGATTGTCGAAGATGTGTAAAAACTGCGTGTCGATTTTGCCCGGTTTCGAGGCCTTTACGTTCAGCAGCTTCTCGCAGATCTCCATCGGCAGCGTGATGTGTTTGCGTAGACGCATCTTGTCGAAGGTGAAGATTCCCCTGTCGCAGAGGGTCTCCAAGTGATCGGCCACATATTGAAAGCATATATCCAGCAGCGACTCGGGCATCGTCAGCACGCAAAACGTACAGCAGTCTGTCGGCAGCACCTTCGAATGGCAGCACTTTTTTTTCGAAGATTGAAGCATCTGCAAACAAAAATCATATATGTTATAAAGCAACAATATATAATTCAAATGGATGATATAAAATGATTTTCAGGTTTCCTCTGAGCTATAAGCAACTAATTCCGAATTCAGGTCGTGCATCTTCGGTTATAATTTATGTAGTTCATCACATCCTGGATTATTCACATGTATCATAAAAGTCACAAATACGCTTTAGTTTTCATTCATACTCGTTTACTTTCATATATTTCCTCCAAGAAAAGAAATACTAAAAGATGCACAATTTACAATCATCGAAACCGCAACACTTATATTAAAATAATAAATACATACGTTTCAGATCAATAAAATCTTAAACTAACACAACAATTATAAAAGAATCCAATCCAACAAAGAACTTAAGATTATTATAGAGTATATTGAAGATCTCGGAGCCGATGATGAATGATGCACATGGCCCGACAAATAATTTTGTAGCACCCTCGATATGCGCTACAATAGTACTTGACGGGCAATGGACAACAGATTGAAGACGACGTCATTAAAATAACAATGCACAACAACAGCAATCTCTATTGTTACAATTAATATATCATTAGAGATACCAATAATTACAAAAAATAAACAGTATTTCTATCACAAACTAGTATATCACGTGTTAAGAGTGAATCATAAGCGAAAATAAAATAATTTGCATATTATTGACTATCATTAGGAACCTCTAATTTTGTAAATGTTTGGGAAACACTGGTGAAATTATTTGAGGTGCAGGAGCAATTTGCATTTTTTTATAATTAATTGTATGCATTAATTCACAGAAATTGTTGATAAAATTAATGGAAGTAAGACTAAGGAATTTGGATTTTTTTTGTATGTGATAGTAAATGGAAGCTTGGAAAATAACAAAATAAGGGTGTGATGATGGATGGACTTTTAATCACATGCTATTTGCAGCTGCATTGGATAGTAAAATGAACTGTCATTGTTGAATTAAAGTGCCATCAGAAGGAAAGAAGTATGCTCGTTGCACTAGATTGGATGTTATGAATGAATCTAAAAATGTATTGATTGTTTCGATGGGATTGATTGTGCAGATCGGGATGATACACGATGATCAGATTGTTGGTTGTCTGCTGTAATTGCAATGTAATGGGAATTTGTGGAACTAACCATAAATGTTTTGTCCCTGATAGGGGTGACTGCCTTGTGAAACAATTGAGGTGTCCCTATCAGAATCCACCTGCTTCAACCATAGCTGTGGGCCTCACAGTCAGATGCGTGTCTCTGATGATTGGAAGAGCGGAGGATCCTCCAATTGCCACAAAACGATACTCCAGATGTTGAACACTTTGCTCCACTCTTGCTTCCTCTTGCTCAGTCCACTTATTTTTGTTATTGAGTAACTCTCCGCTTTTGACAGTTCCCCGTTCGTTCCGTTGTTTAGCACTCTACTAGCGATGCAGAAGACATTGAGCAGGAGCAATGTCCGAATCTCCAAAATTCTTATACGAAGATCGCCTCCAGTGAATTCGCACAATTTCCCTCCTTCTCATCAAATTCACGCAGAAACGCACAATTTTCCGAAATCTCGCTAAACATCCCAGGGAAATTTTGTCGAAATGGTTAGTAACAGTCAAACAGCTGACAGATGTCAAGTGATGGCATACAAGGCAAGGTAGGTGTGATTTTTTTTCGTAGAAAAGTAGTTTCAAAATTTTTCCTTTTTTTCGCCCCCTTCACGTATTCGACGACAATTTTACAGACTCAAAGAATTCGAAGATCTCGTGGACCAAGATGTGATCGATCTGCGGAGGCTCAAACGCCTCTCATTCAACGGTAATTCAAATTCGCGAAAGTAAATAAATACATGTATCACTGTCAACAATCATCTTTTTTTTTTCTCTTGCAGGAATCCCAGATGATTTGGGAAAAAGAGCTCTCTGCTGGAAACTCCTCCTCAACTATTTGCCATCGGAAAAGGAAAAATGGGTTCCATTTTTGAGAAAAAAACGCGAATTGTATAGGAGTTTAATTGGTAAGTGTGATGTGACTAATCTTGAGCATTCTCTTCTAATATAGAGACTAATTTCAGATGAATTGGTGGTGATGCCAGGCTCAAAGGAATCCAATGATGGTGATTGCACTTCATTGGATCACCCATTAAGCATTAATCCGGATAGCCAATGGCAAACATACTTCAAAGATAATGAAGTTCTGCTGCAGATTGACAAGGATGTGAGGCGCCTATGTCCTGACATATCTTTTTTCCAGCAGCCCACTGAATATCCATGCAGACAAATTGTCAATAGTCTAGATATTAAAAGACTTCACACTCGGGTGCAAAGAAGTGTGCTCAAGTGTGCCAACGTGGAGAGGAAGGGTCTTGGCATCACAAAGGTGAATAAACTGATTTCCCATTTTTTTGTTTCCTTTAACCATTATAATATTCTTTCTTTGTTTGCTGCTTTGAAATAGTAGCAGGTGAGTTACACTAATTCATGAAATGCTATCTCTTGCAAATTTGAATATGTTAGTCTTTTTTTTTCTTAAATTGTAATAAGTTATTGCGAATTTAGATTGCGTTAACTATGAAAAAAGCCAATGAGGATTATGCGCCGATGGCTGAGGGACAGGAGGCTCATTGGGAGGTGGTCGAAAGAATCTTATTCCTTTATGCGAAACTGAATCCAGGTCAAAGTTACGTGCAGGGAATGAACGAAATTATCGGTCCCATCTATTACACATTTGCCTGTGATCCCGATCTTCAATACAGAGGTAAATACTTTGTTTAATTTGGTGCTTTCCAAACTTTATGTTCATCCGCCCCGTTTATTTTTTCATGAAATATCATTATGTAAATGTATAATAAGAAATTGCTATATAGATTTTCATTTCGCATTTCAGAGTATGCAGAGGCCGATTGTTTCTTTTGCTTCACGAATTTAATGTCGGAGATTAGAGACATCTTTATTAAAAGTTTAGATGAGGCGGAATGCGGCATCAACAACATGATGTCAAAATTGATGGTTCAACTGAAGAACAACGATCTGGATGTTTGGCTGTTGTTCCAACAGCAAGAATTGAAACCCCAATACTACAGTTTCAGGTAATTAGATTCATTTGATGCAATATGTATTATTGTGAATGCTCTTACTGATGATGATTTTCAGTTAAACAAACATTTGCTAATGAAATTTTCATTTTTCAGATGGATCACTCTGTTATTATCACAGGAATTCCCTTTGCCGGATGTTTTGAGGATCTGGGATTCGTTATTCTCAGATGAGAATCGGTTCGAGTTTCTAATTTATATATGCTGTGCTATGATAGTGTAAGTGTGGCTTTATTTGGATGTTTGAGCGTTGTTAATTGACGTTCTCAATTTTCAGTATATTGAGGAAACAGTTGGTGGATGGGGATTTTCCCTCCAACCTGAAACTGCTTCAAAACTTCCCGCCGATGGACGTCCAGATAATCCTGTCCAAAGCGGTGGAACTGGCGAATCGCACCTTCTAGCAGTCAATTCTCGCCATTTACAACAATAATAACCATTCAATTATCCCATTAATCGTAAGATGAGCTATTCCATAAGTAAGCAAATTTTATATACTTTTTTAATACTCGAACAATTTCCACAAAATTTATATATATATATTACGTTGAATTATGAAACGAATAAAAAAAAACTAATGCATTTTGTTATAGTTGAAGGTGTTTTTATTTCACGTTTTTTTTATCGAAGTGATATTTCGCGAAAGTTTCTGCTACTAATAACGGCAGGATCAAAGTGGCCTCAGCGCATATCTTGACAGGGGTTGCGTCCTTCTTGATTTTACCCCAAGACACGGCTTCGTCCGGTCGAGCACCACTGTCGCTACCATCGAACTCTGCAGCCGTATTCAAATACACAGCGTAATCGCTTCCATTCCTCTGCAGAAATCAACATTGATTTAACAAATATATATATAGAACTGAATCAAATAATTACCATTAAATTGGCGTTGTTTATGTGGTGCTTAATCAAACCACCGCCGACTATAACAACTCCTGTGTGTGCAGCTTTTATGGCCATCAGATTCAATCTGCGCAAATCTAAAACCGATGAAATTAATTTTATTTCATTAGTTTTGCATTTCAAGTTTTTACCAGAAATAATATCGACGACTAGACCAAATTTCTTGAACGAATGGAAGAACATCATGTCTCCGAGACTGCCATCCGTCAAAGCCGGACTGAATACTGGAATCTTGTTCTTTGCAGCCCAATAGTAAATGCTCTCCTCGTTGTTAATCCTCTCCCCTAAACGAGCGACGACTCTGCTTGGGCTCCAAATCGTACCGTTCTTCTGATCATCGACCATTTCATCCAGCAGAGGAGTGACCCAATCTTCGAATTTGCAGTAATTATCGTTGGGCACCAATAAATTACCTATCCGATTCACGCCCTGATCTCTCAACGCGTCTCCTTTCAAATTGAAGTCCCCCAAGAAAGTTGGCGCCAAACATTTAATGAAATCCTCCTCAATTCCACCTGCTGTAGTTACTATACAATCTACCTATAATATAATCAAATTCGATTACTCAAACCAAAATTAAACAATGCTAAATACCAATTTGTGCTGCACTAAGAACCTAATTGTTTCCCTCAATCCACTGGAAATTATGTTCGAGGTATATCCCAAGAAGATGGTACAGTTTGAATTGACTGTTACAAAAGGATCATCTGCATCCACATAACTCTCCTCTGAAAGCTTCTCGTCGCGTTTCTTAAGCATCTTGTTGATTTCCTCCACTGCCAAACCGAAATTCGTCGCTTGGAATCCAGTGTGCAGGTAACTTTTTAGTAACTCTGAATAGTTTATTCCCTGGTTCCAATCATACCCTTTAACGGTTTCCTTCAACAGAGAACAGTTCTCGGTTCTCTTGAGGACAGCATCCTCGGTCACTTTAGGAACGGACATCTCCTGGCAATGTTTTGATTAACCCTAAAAAACGTGTATTTGCAAAGAAATCAAATTGGAATCCTACGAATGTGCGTACAATGCATATGAACTACTGCTACTCATTTGAACTATTGTTTGTAAATATTCCAATTGATTCAGCCTTAAATTTTATTAACAACTGGTAAATTGTTATCAACAATCAATAATTTAATTATTATGAATTTATTTAATTATTGAATTGAAGGAAACGTGTACTAATTGGAAGAAAATAATGTTTTCATTTTTTTGAGGTTATATATAACCATCTTAATATCTATTTACTTATAAAGAAATAACGTTTAAATTTAATGAAATTATGTTAAACACAGTCAGTAAGTATATTACAAATTATTTAATAAAACTTTTAAAATGATTTTTATGTTTTTTTTTTTAGTAAATTTAGTTATTGTAGCTTTGTTATGGGGTGCTACAAATCCTTTGATAAAAAAGGGGACTGGACAAATTACAACTATTCATCATGAGAATAAGTTGAAGCAATTTTTGGCTGAAGTGTTTTTCATCTTCACCAACGTGGGAGTAAGTTTAATTCGTTCTATCAGTGGGACAGTTTTAACTGTTAATATTATTTTAGTATTTAATACCCATGGCTTTGAACCAATTGGGATCGGTGTTGTATTTCTTCGCACTGCAAAATATTGACATCTCATTGGCCGTTCCGGTGACGAACTCGTTGACGTTCGTATTCACCGCTCTGACTGGTTGGTTTTTGGAAGAGGGCGTGCCCACAAGAAGTAAGCCAATTTCTCACCACAATATACACACATTTTTGAGGATTAATAAGCAAGAATGTTTTTTTAAATTTATTTTCGTTTTCAGAAACTATAGTTGGGATGTGTTCGGTGATTGCTGGAACGTCGTTGATGTGCTACGACAAATACTTGCAGGCCAAATGATTAACTTCATCGTCTAATTTATTTAAACTAAAACATTTATAAATACACACATTACTAGAATGTAAAGGGCTAAACGCTAGTACAATAATAATAACATATTTTGTGTTGTGTTTTTGTATAGTTTATGTTTGTTTCATTTGTCGTGTGTGAGTGTCGTACATATAAAGCTATTTACATTTACAATTCTTACAATCTCCTCGTCCTGTTTATATATACAGTCTTTCCAAAGAAAAAAAAAACAAAATAAAATAATTAAAAAATAATAATAATGGGGGCGGGGGGAAAGATGAAACGCGCGTAATCCGCGTTCGCGATTGGTTTTTAAAGTCGTTGTTGTTATTGTTTTTGTGTGTGTGTATTATTTACTTTATTTAACTTGTTTGCATTATTCTTATTATTTTTGTTTTGAGAAACTTGAGGGTGGTGGTTGTTGTCTAAAGTGCGCAAAGGTGCGAGATTCGCTGCTATAAAAATAAATAAATCGAATCAATGTCACGTATATAGTAAAATATTATAAAAGTTGAACAAACAGAGAATATTAATAATAATAATAGTGACTAGTTTAATTCATCTAATAAATTACTTTATTTGAATTCCTATAGAACTATTCGATATCAGGTACTATCAGCTTCAAGTGCCCTTTGTTTTGTGTGGTGGTTCGCGAGATATATTTATTTATATATATATAGAGAGAAATAAAGATATATCTAATAAATAAGTAGAGAATGTGTGCATGTTTGTGTGTGTGTGCGTGTGTTCGGCAATTGAACCCAATAGTAGAGCTTTGCTTGTGTTGTTGTCGTCGTCGTTGTTCTTGTTATGTTTGCGTAATACGTTGGAACCGTGTTATATACTTCGTTGCTGTATGTAACTTGGTATATGAGGAGTTTAGCGCTCGTTGGATTCGTCTGTTGGTGCCTTGGTTGTCGATAAGAGGAGGGTCGAGAATTTTTGAGGAGGACGAATGTCGTGCAGATTCCTAGTGAGTCTTTGGTTTTCTGAGGTGAGCTCTTGAAGCCGTGTCCGTAGTTGCTCGATCTCAGTCGCCAGCTGACTGATCTGCTGCTCTTGGATGACGGGATCGACGTTCGTGTAGATCGGCTGATCGTTCAATGGCAACTCGGTTACTGCCAAATTGGAGCGCGCCCTCGGGGTCAATTGGTCTCCGCCGCTCAATTGGTCCTTGGGAATTGGTTGCGAATCGTGACCTAGTCTTACATGGACGCCGTCGAAATTCTGCTGGAACGTCTTCAGGCCGTGGTTGTGCCTCACCTGATCTTGGATGTGGACGTACTGTTGCTCAGGACGCGCGTATCCCCTTAGATCCGGCAGGGAATTGTATAGAGGTGACGTCGTCGTTGCTTCGTAGACGTGGTAAATCGTATCGCGCGTTGCGACAGGTTCCTCCTGCGGACAGTGAGTCGTCCCTGTGATCTTCGTATGGTTCACCTCCATTGCAGAACTGATTTCGGAGAAACCAGAATCGCACAATATCGGATTTTCTAAGCATAAAAACAACAGCAATAAAGAACAAAGAATACAATAACATCATTTTCTCCATCATACCTTCAAGATCAATATGCAAGACTCCCCAGTTGTCCTCGTGCACGCCATCTCGCACTCTGCAATGCGTTTTGCTGACTAAATCTTTGCCTAAAGACACGATCTGGTTGTTCGAAAGATAGGCCCAGCACAAGACGGGCAGCCCATGGAAGTCTTTGTCCAATACCGTGAGATAATTGTGAGAAGCGATGAGCTCCTCCAGCGAAGGCAGGAACGTCTGAAAACGCAACGACTGTGAGAACATATTCCTCCTCTTCCCCATGTGAACAATATTTCTTACCTTGCTCGTCTCTTCCAGAGTAGTCAACTTATTATGCGACATATCGAGCAGGGTTAGGCGATCCAAACCGATTAAATCATCAGGCGAAATTCTTGTTATACTGTTGAAGCTTAGGTCCAGACGAAGAAGGCTTCTTAGACCAGCCAAAACGCCGTTCAATGAATGCAACTCGTTGTGGTCCAATTTCAGTGTCGTCAACGATATTTCGGATTCGATCAAGTTCTGAAATTTGATCAAAAAATGAACATATCAAATATGTATATTATTTGAATATACTTACTGGCATCGATCCGCTTAGGTATCTGATTTTGTTGTAAGACACGTCAAGCGTTTTCAGATTGTGCAATCCGCGAATTTCCTGCCATGAGAACTCGCCAAGCAGATTATGCGTTAAATTCAGACTATAGAGATTGCGAAGAGGCAGAAGGGACCCGTTCAAGCTGGTAATATAGTTGAATTGCAGCTCCAGCTCTTTAAGTCTTTCGTTTTCCAAGAAATCATCCCTCAATAACTGAAAAAAAAATCAAAAACACAGATTATATACGAATGAACTCATCTAATTACAATCGTTAGGTACCTTTGAGATTCTGTTGTTCTCTAAGTGGACGCTCTCCAGGCATCGGGATTTCGAAAGAATACCGTCGAGAGAGGTAAGCTGGTTGTGCTGAAAGAATAACATTTTTATGTACGGCATCGTTTTCAGTTCCTGCGGCAGCTTCTGGATGCGGTTGTTCGAGGCGAAGAGCATCCTAAGATCGACACCATTCTTGGGTAGCTGATCGTCCAATGATACCAGATCGTTGGAGTTGATGAACAACCATTTAAGGTCGTTCAGGTGTCGCAGCGTGCCGTTCAGATCCTTGATCGAGTTTCTGCCCAGATGCAGTCTGACAACAGTTTCGGGAAAGGAGTGAGTGTCGATTCTGTAGATCATGTTGCCTGCCAGGACGAGGGTTTCGAGCATCGCGAAACTCTGGAGGAAAAAGAAGTAAATAAATTATTTGTTATGTTATATGAAAGCACGAGTATGACGATTTACTTTCAGACTTTCTTCGCGCACGTTCTTCAGTTTCAAACGGCCGATGTCCAGCGATTTTACGTTTGGCATCATCTCGAACACCTCGATGGGCATGTAGGGAATCATGTTGTCGGATAAACATAAATAGGTGACGTGCGTGAGGCCGGCAAACGTGTAAGGATTCAGCTCACTGCAATTAAAAAAAAAATAATTTAAAAGGTACAAGAATTACTTAATTTTTTGATAAACTTTTGCGAAAATAACGAAATCTTTTGTATGTTTTTGTTAAGCTTTTCTCAAATGGAATTTAGTACCTAATTAAACTCGCTTGGAAGAAACTTGAAATATTTGATGGTTTGAATTTTTATTATATTATTTTTGTTATCAAATGGAATATTTTCATATAATCACTTAATTAGGTTAATTAATGTAGTAATGTAATAAATTAATCTTTGTCTGAAATTATTGTTTATTTTAGACTTCAATAAATATCTACAACGGCACGTGAAATTCCAAAATCTCTATAGATTTATTTATACGTACATTGGAGTGTACACAACAATTGTTTTATTATTGATCATTGTTTTCTCTCGATTATTTCCGACAAATGAATAATGTTCCACGTGCTTGTTTATCTTAAGGGAGAAACAGCGAATGCGACATGTGCGAGTGTATCTTGACAAGTTGACAATAATAAAAGTGTAGATCATTCGGTGCGTCGCAGTTAATCTCTTTGAAATGTGTATAATTAATTTGTGATGCGAGGTCAATGTTCCAGCGGCGCCTGGCCGCTCGCTGGCGCCTCCTCACCACTAGGTGCACTCTTTTTCTTGTCCATCATCAACACCACCGACAAGAGCAGAAGCAGCTGCTTCTGCTGCCGCCGCCGCCGCTTCTGCAACAACAACAACAACATCTTTGTTTGATGCGGAAGAGTGAAAGAAAGATCGTATGTGTGTAAGAGAGAGAAAGACCTGATGCTCCGATTCGGTTCATTCTTCATTTCGGGGCGACGTTGATGAAGATGTTGTTGTTGTTGTTCTTGGAGCGCGCTGTTTTTGCTTCTGGCATATTTTCGAGATCCCGTTAATTCCAGTTACATAAACCGGGCACGCACATACATACATCATCAATGCAAGTGTGCGCGCTCGGACCAGAGGAAAAGAAAAAAATGGAAAGGAAGAGATTTATTCATTTATATGTTGATGGATGGTAAATAAAAGAGCCGCCGATTGTAATCCGTGGAGGAAGAGGTTGAGGATGGATGCTGGAAACAGGCAGGACGAGTAGGAGAAAGAAGAAGAAGAATTAAATCGCTGGCGCCGCCAACTAAAATTAAAACGATAACGGCTTGATCTTGACATAAATCCATTACCATGTATTTATGTGTGTGTGTATCCGAGTGTGTATATAAATGTGTACATAATGTTAATTTTATTATGTGATTACTGTGCGATTATCGAAACCCCCGGAATGAACTCTCTGTCGTATTGCTAATTAAGATAAAACCGCTTTCACATTATTTTGTAAACACACACACTTCCAGCATTTCTTCTTAACCCTTATAAAAGCACTTACTTAATCATAAAAAAAAACATCGTACCTGTTTTTTTCATTATTCAATATTACCTACTGTTAAAAATACATCTAACTTCAATTTACATTAGTTGCATCCAACAGTTTTAATCGTCGAAAAGACAAAATTGCATTTAAAAATGTTATGATTCCAATTGGAACTAATACGCTAACATAGACATAAATGAGAAGTTACGTCTCAGTCATTCATACAAAGTTAATGCAAGTTAATAAATTGTTCCCAAAATCATGCAAATGTAAAACGTCCTTGTTTTGCTGGTGGAAAATTTATCTAAATACATTATAGAAGTCAATTGTAGAGTTCTTGGAGATGATGCAGATTGCATTCTACGAAATGCTTCAAACTCAACTGTGTAATTTAATATAAATTACTACGAAAATGATCTGACTACAATAAGAATTTGAATAAAATTGGTGTCATAAAAGAAGCGTTACCATTTTGATATACCACTATATAATCCCTGCTATTATTTAATATTGATGAAAAATATTATTAATAATGTCGTATAAATTCCTGCGTCAAGCATGCTTTTCATTAGAATATAGAAGACAATTGTAATCGAATTAAAGTTGATGTATAAGAAATTGTTGTAAGTTGATGCAGATTGTATTCTATGAATCGTCTCAAGCTCAATTATTGATTTGTTCAATTGAATGTAAATCGCCGCTGAAATGATCTCACTTTGCATTATTGAGATTTTGCGTATCACACGCATCTGAAAGCTGTTGTATCACGAGAATGCATGTAAAATAAAAAAACTTGTAACTCTCAAATAAATCTATTTTCGTTATACGAATATCCACTGAGAGCACACGAAAAGCACTTTTCAATTATTCTATAGTTCTGCAAACTTTGAATTGAATTCTTTGTTCCATTTGGGACGCAGATCGATACGAGATGAGCGCGAAAAGTTTCAATTACATTTTCACAGTTCTTTTTTTTTTGATAGTTCGAAGTCAAAGTTATGGCGAGATTTGTAGTATAAATGTTTATACATCTTTTCGATTGATTTAGGTGCAAAAAAAAAAAACAATGCACACAAAACGATACTGCTGTAAAGTAAATAGTATAGATTAGGCAGCAGCGGCTGAGATTAATTTCCTCTTGTTTGTCTGTCTTGCACACATTGGGAGCATGTTAATTGCGGGATGCGCTCGGCAAATAATGCCAGTATCTGCTCTTCCTATATTTACTTATTGTGATTTGCTTGCTTGTTTGGAGAGCTTCTGATAGTTATCAACATTTTGGATTGTTGATTTTGGATATGTAAATTACATTCCATCTCTCGTTAATTGAAGGCCAATGATAACATTGTTGTCGAGATGCATTTAAAAATAATTTAAAATGTAATATAGGAAATTGTGTAATACGTGGCTCCTCTCTCTTCCAGATAAATCTATTCAATGTTTTTATATCATTTAGGAACGACAGCACATTTCGTTGATACCAAATCGGTCATGGAACCAGAAATGACCAGAAATATCTAACCACTAAAGTGATGGGATTATGTTTATTGATAATTTACGTGCATTCATTTGAATATATTTGTACGCGTCGAAAATCGTTTCCCAAGTAATAATCATGTTGTCGTCTGGGAATTCAAATAACATGCGTTCATTAAGTATAAATATTATAAACTGTTACAAATTGCGTTAAGGAAAGTTTAAAGAATTACAACTACAAATTACGCTATTTTACGCTCAGAACTATTAGAAATTCAAAACCAGAAATAAAAGTATTCTTTATTAATATTAATCTATATTATATTAATGTTAATTATGTACGTCAGAATATTTAAATAAATTTCTATTCAACAATTCAATTCAATTTTCATTAGCAAAATCATCTAAGAACACACTTTTAAAACGTGGTATTTCCAAATCGTTGCCGATCACGGATTCTGAAGTAGAATTGGGCAGAAAATAATAAAATATTCTTAGGTAATAATTTATATATAAGGTTATTCGTTCAAAACAGGAATTTAAAGTCCGAGACAGAAAATAGATATAGGTATGTTCTTTAGCTAAGTTTGAGGGAATGTTTGAATCATGGAATTAGTCAAGTTCGCGTTCCACTTCAGTTAAAATGCTTGAGCACCATTTACAAAGTATGGTTTAACGATGCAGTTAAAATTACGTCCAATTCCCGTTCGGTTTTTACATATGTTTCTTTCTAATTAATATTTCGAATAGCGAGCGGAACGATCGAGTAAACTAAATAATAATAATGACGATGATGATGATGATGATGATGAGAGTTTTATGGCCCTTAATCGCGGCCAATAATTAAAGGAATAAACAATTTTATCAACGTTAATTAGTCAGTTCGTTTTGTTTTTCTTCTTTATTTTCGGTTCGTCCGTTTGCGTTTCCTTCTGCAGTTTCTTCAATTATTTTTCGTCTGCGCGCCTCTGCGGTCCCCGGGCAAAGGCACCACGAAATACCGGAGTCGTCTTCTGGACATTTTAATTGCCGGTCATCGCGGGACTCAAAAATAGCACCACCGCCACACCGCAGAAATGTATGTTTGTATGTATGCATGCATGCCCGAAGAGAGACAAATATCTGGTGATACATACATTAATTGATTAATTGCGGCGATCCATCGTTACTGAACGGCGGATGCCGACGTGCTCAAGGTCTTTCAACATAGCGAATTCTTTGCGCCCTTCCAAACCATAGGATTTACCAGACCACTTCCATCGTATACATAATTATTAGTCCACCTTAATTTTTTTTAATAATAGTTTAAAAGTGTTTCTTCGATGCTCTTTCACCTGATATTAAGCATTATTTATGTAATTGTGTGACCCAGGTTCGATTCCCGTGTGATAATACATCACTTATGTTTAAGATGAATCAGTTAATTAGGTTAGGGTTATGTAATCAATATTGATTATTACGTTGACGTTGTATGAAATTCACTTATCTCTAGTTTAGAAAGGCCACAAACGGCAAATTCTCAATCAAATTCTATGAGAAAATAAACTACCCTGAATTCATTTATTTATAATATTTTTGGTGTTCCACATGGCTACGCCTCTGGTCCTATTTAATTGTTGTTGTTGTTCAAATCTGACCTTGAAATTATAAATCAGTTAAGTTATACAGAGTTATTATTTTTTGAATCAATCTAGATATAATTATAAATATGTAAACAGAGTTGACTCATATCTATAATTTACTTATAAGTCTACGTAAAGTATTATTTTTCATACAAAGTACCCGAAATCATTATTTCATAGATATTATTAGAATGCAACAAACTTTTCCTGACCAGTGATATTTATTTGGGTCTTAATACGTTTGTGGAATATAATTTCAATATTAAAGATTAATTTTATCGTACCTTAGAAACTATTTATGAATTTCATTAGCATTTTTACGTCAGAAATGCAAATTATTATAGTGACGCACTATTTGTCGAAAAAAAAATCTAAAATATTTGAAAATAACTTCACTAGAAATAATTATATTTATTAAATTATTTCAATTATCAAACTATAACCCACTTTACACGTTTCTTCTAAGTTCGAAAACGGTTTAATCTTGCAATAATACCAAAAAAAAAACGCGTGCTTGCTTGATTATCAATGAATGAGCGAATCAAACGTGGAAAACTTTTGGCCTTTTCCCAATATATGTCCGTTTCCCCTTCGTTTCTGTTTTTTTTTCTATCTGTTTGTTCCATTTCAGTCGGTTTAATGGAATTGGGTTATCATCAAATCAGGACCGAGTTCAGATATTAAATATCGAATATTGGATGGACACGAACGTATTGAAATATATACACAGATACACACATACACATTTCACCGGGTTTCAATCAGAATTCAATTTCGCGTTGTCGCAATTTAATGCATGATATCATGCATCCAGGATCGAATTATCATTAACCGGAAGTTACGTGCAGATGAGGTACATTGCTGTGATTGAACCCTGTACCGTGTAGTAAATGAAAGTGTGAATTTGTGTATAATAATTATGTACAAATTATTGTTTTTCATTTGGATGTGAAACGTCTAACTAAATATCCGTGAACACTTGGAGATGGTGCTCTAATTTTGTCGTTTTTATTGACATTTAATGCATTGCAAAGCTTACGTAATACTCTGTGCATGTGTGTAAGTGTGGGTATTATCAATCGTTGTAAACATAAACAAATGCCAAGTGGAAATATTGACGAGAATCTACGTCAAATAAAGTCAACTTATACAAATACAAAAATGTAGCATCATTATCTTGAAAGAAAATAATTTTAATTAACATTTAAGAATTATATTTAATAATTATTAAGTTTTTATATGTTTTTTTTATACTTATATCGAAGTAGTAGAATGTTAAGAATATTTAGAAATTTAATATGAATTAAAACGTTGAATCGAGTTGAAACTTGTTAGTAATTGTGTTCAGTGAAAGTAGATCATTTGCATTACTAATTTCATATATAAAAATACAGTGCAATGCAATTAATTTGCTTCTTTCTACGAAAACGTACTACGATAATAAAATGTACGAGTCTAGACTTTATGCGCTATTTGCCTCATTAAATAGTAGTTATAATGTCCAACAGCGTAAATGGCAATAGACGAATATGATTCATCCGAAATCCGTCGACAAGACTAGACAAGACAAGACAAAAATATTGGGATAGATATAGATGATGATGATAATGATGAGGAGGAGTTCAAGGAAATGGATGCTCCGCACTCCTCGTCCTCGTACGCTTTTTGCTCTCCTCCAGCTCTTTGTGTATAACTGTAATATATAATTCGAAGTATTGCGGAGCTGTAGAGACGACGTCTGTACGTGTAATGAATGAGATCGGTAATGCAATATTAATTACAACAGTAGGTTTCCAGACCAGAAGCTGTTGGCGCCGCAGACTATTAGACACAACTCAGAACGGCACAAAATTACAAAACCTCCGTCTCTCACACTCTCTCCCTCTGTCTCTCTCTCTCTTTATCTGTGCATGTTCCTCGCTCTCCCCTCGTTTCGTTCCTGCTTATTCCACTTATTCCACTTCTCGTTCAACATTTCTTCGGCTCTCTTTTTCTCCGATGCCAATCCTTAAAATGCGGAAACGCTTCGGTTTCGATACCTTTTTATATCCCGCCACTGCCATTCTTCCCCTCGTTAAAACTAATTAATCACCTTTAATTCATCGCTTTATGACTGCGACCGCTATTAGCAACGTCCAAGCAAGCAAACAACGATATTATTATTATTTATCTTCATTCCATCGGACCTTACTAAATAAGGCGTACAACTATTTATTTACAAAGTTTCCCTGCAAACTGATTCAATAATTAACGCAGAAATTTAACGTGTTCATTTTTCATTGTTAACAAAGACATGGCCCCAAAATTTGCTATTCATGTTCATAAAGCAAATTGTCGGAAATTATGCAAATTTTAAGAGGTTTATTTACGAGATCGGCCTACTCCAGCAATCGCAGACAAACTTACTACGAAAACGAAGAGAGAAAAATACTGGCGCGTTTAAGAACCCACACCAAATGCCCAATTAGACACCTACGTTGGGCATTGTTTGAGGTGCACTTGGGATGACCAAAAACACGTTACTTTACATACGGACTTGGGTCCAGACTAATTGCGGGTTTTCTGTTGTTGTTGATCATATGTTTCTTGTTTGTTTTTCAGAAGAATTACAAATCATTGATTATTTTAGAGTAGTTGTATCTATATTTTGTTATTCTTTTCGAGACATATTGACGTTAAACTAATTCTTATTATCATTGTCCACACATTATAAATTATCACTTTAAAAGCGTAAATAAGGAGTATCACAATTATCATATGATATAAATATAATATTGATTCTCGTGTGGAAATAATAGTTATCATTTCGCAGTTTTCTAAATAAATAAATATATATGATTTAATTCACGTTTTGAAATTGGATTTTACTCCTCTTTTGTGTATAAATATATATAAATGCGTATAGTACTTGATTTATTTGAGGTTTTCGTATTGGAATGGGAGAGAATTTCTGGGAAAATTAATTGGCCAGCAGATAATTATCTCGTCTTGTACATCGGTCGGGCGACAGGACTGAAACTGAGTCGTGTGTAAATTAAAAACAAAGCCGAATGTATGTATGTACACACATAGCCATAAACATATAGAAATTCAGCAGCCAAGAGAGAGAGCAGGAGGATTGCTGGAGGTCGAGGGTTATCAGTGAGCAGCCGATGCGGCTATTTGATCACCGTTGAACCATCAATTTACGCTCTTTTTTTATTCAATTTCTATTTGGCCGAAGGAAAGAAATTACCAACAACCCCCCAACGACACCGATGTACGTCGTTAGTACGTCAATTTAAAATAAGTCATCTTTGGGTGGGTAGATTCTCGAATAATTTCGAATGCCATTTATATGAGACCATTTGTATATGAGACAAAAAAAAAGAGTTATCGGGGTTTATTTTTGTACCGCGAAATATTTATAGAAATCGGCGTGGCCAAAAATACACATACATGTATATATATGTACATATACACACACACACACAACATACGGATTATCAGTCCTTTATACGGTAAAAGCAAGGCGATTGGATGGAATTTTCTAAAACCGTGCATTCTGTTTACATTACATTGCGAGCGCACTATCAATTTTGGCAGTGGAGTTAATTAATTTCGATGTTAAAGTTCATTTATTCAATTTTTCCTTCTCACCCTCGTATCTCGCGCGCACTCCGCACATCCGATGTGCAAATGAAGAATTGATACAATGATTTTATTTATTATACATTTCCCGCCTACCGCAATAAGCAATATTTACCTTAATTCGTTAAACGTGAGCTGGAGGTTCTCGATGGTCATGTTCATCTCCTTGAAGGACCTGGAGGAAAGGTCCTCGAGCTTGGAGTCGTTGATCTTGAGAGTGATGTGGACCATCGGCGAAAATCGGTTCTGCAGCAAAGCGATGATCTCAGCGAATGATTGCATCTTCTCGCAGATGATGACCACCTTCGTATGGTTCTCCGTTTTGCACGTGCACGGGCTGATCTCCCTCCAGACGGCGCAGTTCTGGTGCACCCCCATCGACAGGCCAAGGAGTGATAATAACAGGGGTGACATGATGAGCACAAGGTGGGCCAGCACCATCGAGGAAGGAATTCCTTGGAGAAGGCTCCCGGTCAGTGCGTAAGCGAACGTTGGCGCGAAAGGCGGTTGCAAAGGATGCGTCGATAACTGTGGTGGTTGTTCTTGCTGCTGCTGCTGCAGCTGCTCCTGTAGTTGATGGTGGTGTTCTTCAAGAAAACAACAAACAACAGGAACCGCTGTTGTTTATTGTCCTTCCTCTCTGCGGTCGGTCTCTGTGCGGTAATCAGTTGCGGCGTCGCAACTGCGGAAAGCCGGCTATGGACATTTGCCTCCTGGTTCTTTCGGAATTTTGGGCGATGACGAGAGAAAGTGCGAAAAAATAAAACGGACGACGAGGCGACGGTCGCGCTATCTGAAGGTTTTTCTCGAAGGGACGTAGGACGAAGGGTCGGCCTTTCGGTCGGTCGGTTGGTCCGTCGATAGATCGGGCGGCAGGACGACTCGATGGATGATCCTGTGAGAAGAACCGGAAGGATTGGCGCGCGTTCGGTTGTGCGTTCGCGTGTTTGGTGTTTGGTTTTGTCACCCTGTTCGCTCTCCGGTCTGATTGAAACTGATGCTTGAATGGTGGCGCCTAAATTTCCTTGCCGTGTTAGCCTTGATGTATTCAAAGACAGGCGCCAGAGATCAGAATGTGTATGAGTGTACAGCATACGTATAAAAGTAATTAAGTGCTGCACGCCACTATATCTGATTGCATTCTTCGAGTTACATGCGAGATTCCGGCCAGAGATTTATTGGGAAGAGCAAAAGAAACACGCACCATTGGCGCCTCCTTTTCATTTAAACACTCCACAGTGGCTCTCTCACTGTGTAACCGATGATGGCATTTCTTCTCGTCTCCTCTTCTCTTCTTCGCTCCACGACGCTCTTTTCTTCTTCTTCTTCTCTTTTGCTACTACTTCTTCTTCTGTTGCTCCTCTTCTTTCTGCTTCGCCTCCAACCCGTCGCCACTCAATCAATTTGCATACACGATATTGTCTTTTTACACCTTCCCTCATTTATCACTTCTGCATTCCTCTACGTTCCTCGGCGCAAATAAAATTCTTCTTCACGATAAACAAAGAACCCTCCTCCTGATCTTACGCAATTCTCGTCAAATCTTTCCTTACCGTACACTTCTTCACAATCACTTATCAATCTCATCCAACCCTCCAAACGCACTCGGTCATCCAGCCTTCAAATCACTTCGAGTGCCCACCTAAAAAACAAATCACTTAAATATAATAAATTCAATTAATATTTATTATTTATATCACTGTTATATAATTTAAAATTTTAATTGTATATTCTCAAAAGGAATTTCTTTTTTATATTTCTATTTTTATACAATTTTCTCCATTAAATTATGATTCTCGCAAATTTAAAATATTAAAAGATTTATTTAGGAATTCCCAATTGCCAAAAGGAATTCGTTTTTATATAATTTAATTTGAATTATTACAAAGAATTTCCGAATAATGAATAAATTAAAAATAATATAAAAAAAACACATAAAAATATAGCGATTGAGATAAATTAATGAAAGTTGAAATTCGAGTAATTTGAACTGATAGCAACAACAATAGAATAGAATTGATGAAGTACGTCCGTGCTAGTGGCATATTTTCAACTGAAGTCACGGTGTTTTCAATATCTGCACTCTTTATCGACAATGTACGTGAAGACCATAACCTAGGCCAAAGCGAAGTGAATAAGTGTATAAGTATACAATATAACAACGACGACGACGACGACAACCGAAGAAGAAAAGAAAAATTCAAAACAAACAACATTCGTATGTTGTATATGAAAAGAATATGTTGAACATGGTGGAGGTGGCCGAAGCGTGCGATATTCACATATAAATATAACCGCATAATAGCGCATACGTGGAATACTTGGGGTTTCGCGTGCTCTCTTTGGGAACGGTTATGTGTGTGTTGGGAATTTGGGAGTAAACAGGCGAGTAAATCAACAACAAGAAGTGAGGCTCGAAATGAATGAGGAACGCGCGGAATTCCTCTCTCTTGCTATAAATAATAATTTTGCAGAGAAGACACGAAAAATAATACAAAAAAAAACAACAGACGACAATAAATAAGCAGAGAGCGCCTACTGCTAATGAGCAAGTTCTATGCTGTCGGAGTAAATTCTACTGAATTTGTTGACTTTTAGAGACATGTTGTCCAATTGGAAAATATAATTTAAATAATAATAATAAATAAATTAACTTAATAATATATAATTAATTAATAATACTCGATTACTCACTTGAAAATTTTCCAACAAAAATTTTAAATTGGATTTGAATAGACTCTTCCATATATCAAACAATATACCAACTAAACTGATATGAAACTATTCCCAAAGTAACAAAAATTCATTTCTAATTAAGCTCACTAGTAGCAAAGACGTGACGAAATCGATCGAATATGGGAATGGAAACGTTCCCACTGATTCCCAAAAACGCACGACTTTTACACAATCAATTATTGTAAACGTTATTGACGCAACCAAGGTGAAATAAATCGGCTTGAAATGGCACTCTAGAAATATGAATCGATCACATAATAGTTAAATAGAAAAACCCACGAAACTGTTGCAGCAAAAGTTTCCAAGTTTCAGCTCGGAATCGGCTTATTGCTTCCTTCTTATTTTATCGAACGGTGGAAGAAATGTCAGCTTATTTCTGCGACAATGATATGTTTGCTTGCGAGTGGTTCCGTGAACGGATCTCGCGCGAATTATCAATTTTCCGCTACACAAACAATTCGCGTTTCCGAGATATCGCCGATGATTTTCTTTATTGCCCACATCCCACAATGGAACAATGTAATGGCTAAATGGAATGCACATAAACAACAGCTGATAATCTAGTTAAAGACAATATTGTAGTCTCGTCAACTGTAATTTTCATTTACAACAAATAATAACATTTTAGTCAATCAACAAATTGAATCGATAAAATATGTAATGAAATCATTACATATTTTATTGGAAAATTTCAAATAAGAAATAACAAATTAAATTGAATAAAGTAATAAATTACATTGAAAAACACAACTAATTTACATTATATATTGCTAAACTAGAATTTCAAATCGCAATTTCAATAAAATGTGAAATAAATTTTTAATAGTTTCTTTCATTTAAAAGCCTTTACATACCTTCAGCTTAAATTTGTTTCCATTGTTCAAGTATTTTTTTTATAAGCCACTTTTTGGAGAAAATCGATTCTGCTTGTGTCAAGTCAATCAATAAATATTTGAAGTGAATATCACGAAAACCGAAATGAAACTAATTTCTAAAACATTAAATTTATTCAGATTAAGAGGAATGTCGATTGTTTTACACAATGTTAATATTTGCTGTGGTTATCTCGATCTTACGTAATATTGAACCACATTGATATAATATAAAAAGCATGTTATTTCAAATTAGAATATAGTGTTTTGTAGGGGCTTTGCTAAGAAGAAATACAGGTTCGTTTCTGTGCGAACGAGCGTTTAACTGTAGTAACATTTACAAATTTGAAAAATAAACTTCCACTCTACTTATAAATCAGCAATGATTACCTGCTAGAGAAACCAACAACCTGTATTTACATTATTCCTTCCTTACGTTTCAAATTTGTTGCACGCGTTCGACTCGAAATTACTCCTAAACACATGTAAATGTATTTTATGGCAATTCGCTGGGAAAGAAGAAAGAAACAAAGAAAATAAAAGGGTCTCAAAGAAAGAACGAAAGAGACACAACAAAAAAAAAACAGCGTCTGCTCTGCTTGTAAATTTGCTGCAATTATCTGTCTCTAAGCTCGCTCGACGTTGGAGCAACTTTATTGATACTATTTTTCCTAATTAATTTTGATTGGTCTAAATTGATTCTATGGTAACTGTAAGGAAATGTATATTTACTTATTACCCAAATGGTTTCGAATAACGATTTTGATTATTTATTTTTCTACATTTTTGAGATATTACAACGGCGGAGGCAGTTTGGATGTACTGATGTAATAGATTAGATTAGCACCGTTCATTGTCATCCCACTGAAAGCCTTATTAAAGAGACAGTGTCATTGTCGAATTTACGATGATTTGCATTCGTAATCCTGGCGCAATGATAAAAATCGTAATTATTTACGTCAGTGCGTGCGTTTGCACGCATTACGAAACCGGCTTTAATCGAAATCGTTGTTCCTTCTTTCGTAGCTGTATTTTTTTTTAGTTCTGATGACCGATCCGAATTGGAGACGATCCCTTCTAGACGTGTTTACTACACCGGGTTTCCTTTATCTCGCGCTTCACGGTTGACCACCGCAACAACAGCTGCAACAACAAACAGCAGGAGCGGCGGCAAAGACAACCGTTTACTTCCCTAAACAGTAGCCGTCGCTTCTATTCGAAAGATCATCATCTTCGTCTTCTTCGGCCGTGCAAAAAAACACGGATCGAGATGCAAAAATGAAATAACATATAATATATAGAGGAGACGCGGTGCCTAAATTTAGAAGAGGAATTCTCATTGATAAAATTCATTCATCGGACGTTTTTCACGAAGGAATGCGCCACTTTGGCCGCCTTGCGTCAATCATAATTATTTATAAAAGTATCGATCTGTTATTTATAAATGGCGCGCTTCACGTGAACTGAAGAGCAGCCGTCCCGACGTCATCGAAAAGCTCATGCATGCATACACAACCTACACGCCCTGGAATTTTTCAAATTCTACCGGTCTAATAATAATACACGCATCAGTATATGAAGAAGAAAAAAATATATTTACGCGCGACGGAGGAAACAGGATCGAACCGTGTTCGATCGCATCGTCTTCAATTGTTGCGACCTTCCTAACAAACGATCGAAGATTGTTTCACTCATTCATTCATTCATAATCATCATCATCGTCGTCGTTGTTGTTGTGATTAACTTCCTTCAAGCTTCGCGCCCACGGATCGGCGCGTCTCCTCTCCTGAGCGAACGAGTCTCTCACGCGTCCTGCCCTTTTGGCCCCGGCCAATAAAACGCCCAATCAATGCGAATTGTCCCAATCACGAATGGAAGTTTAACCTCGTCGGTCACCTGCGAAACTGAATTACACGCAAAATTTCCCGAAACGGAGTTCCGATCGCGGAATTCCCAACGCAATCTAATTTCAGGGCATCACATCACCGACAATCCAAAATCCTCAACCATTTTTCATAGCTTAGTTTCATAGTAACTTAGTTACTTGAAAACAACAAGTAACTTTTATCATTGCTTTGCAAGTTGTTGTTAAACTTGAATTTAAAATATTAATAAAATGTATCTACTGGTCATAGTTACCAGATACAAGAAGCATAACACAAATATGGAATGTACACCGGAGCGCATATTGACGGTCACTAAGAGCGAAAAAGAGTAGAGTGGAATGTAAGCAAATCTTGAAAATAAAATATTGAAATATGTACAATTCAGAATAGATATTTATCTTTGGTAATAATTCAATAAGTCATGAAATGATATAATTCATAATTTTCGTCGTTCTGTGATGTTTGTCGTTTGAATATTGTTAGTTAATGTTTGTAAATCATGATACAAAGCTTTTGGTGACCGAAGTTATATATTATATAATCATTAAAAAAAATAATAATGATAACTAAATTAGAAATCATAATGTTGTAAACATTATAATGACACAAGCTATTTTTCAGTTATAGTTAAAATGAAACTGAAAATCTAATGGAATCATTTTCAATATGGAAATAGACGATATTATAATACTTCTCTAAGTTTTGTATTTCTATACCTTATATTTCAGAGATCTAACGATAAGTTAAACTAAAAACGTTTTTCTCTTTAAATTAAGTAAAGTAAGTTTGGTACAGACCTTTTGGACGATTCGAATAACTCTAAAGTTTATGGATGTTGAATCAGCGTTGAATTTATTGACTTTCAAAGTATTTATTTATAGTTTTTGTTTTTCTTTAATTAAAACCATGACAACGATAATTCGATTAAACGATTAATTTAACTTATTTGTTTTTGCTTGAACTACTATAGAATTGGAACAAATTAACAAATGATTTGCTGTTAAATAAATATATATAATTTTAATAAAATTAAACTAAATTTAATTTAAAGATTTGTATATTAAAAATGAGTCCATGTAACGTTAAACAATTAAATATAATATCGAATTGCAGGCAACCATCGTGACTTGCCCTTGTGGTGAGTTCAAATCGTCTGCGAAAAAACATTGCATGCCGAAAAGGCAATAATAAGGAGATCGCATGCATGCAAATATGTTAAACTAGGAAAATGAGAATACTACTACACATACCCAACGACCATCGGTGGCGGAGCACGTGCAAAACTTGGATATTTGTACACAAACGAACACGTTTTCGCTGATTAAACACGTTTTGAACTTTGACATCAACAAACAACACTGGTTGGCTCTGAAATTGTCGAAGGCCTGCAATAATACCACGGCCACAGACGCCAATCGAGTATTTGAAAAGAAGTAAAGCAAACAATTCGATAAATGTAAAAAAACAAACAAACAGATTGCAGGGATTTTAGAGCGCTAATTTCGAATACGAACGAATGGTCCAAACAACTCTGATGGACGGTTGACTGATGATACCCTTTGCCATTTGGGAATTATGGAATAGATAGAATTTCCCAAAATAACACGACAATCGCACTTCGAAAATGACGATCACGTTGTAGATATTCATCGTACAATTCGGTTGGACTAAGACAATCGGGATAGGAAGACGAAGAAAAAACAAAACAAAATAAATAAATGCCTTGTTTGAGAGTGTGTGTGTTTGTATGTATGTATATGTACTTGCAGGGACTTCCCTCAATATTATTTTGTTGTTATCTATAGAATTATGATATGGGCCGCATCATATCTGCGTACACCCGAAATGGTACTCATAACATATACAAATACAGTGCGTGTTCATCATTTATTACACAACCTACTTTATATTCTTAAAAAATAAATTGAATTGTCAAAATGAGAGTAATTATAGAAGCGGCCTCCTCCGAGGTCCGCGACTCAATTAAATACAGCTGCTGAAATAAATAATTATAATGTATAAGAAAATTATGCGAAACGCGAAACTTTATAAACCCTTCTTCTGTATCACTGGTACAACACGTTAAGTCGTCTCAACCGTTCGTATTCATGTCCTTTTTCCATCCGTTCTTCCTTTTTGAAACAAATTGTAACAATCGTCGAATTAAAAAGTAAAAGAATAACGTATTGTAAAAATGTTCTAATATGTATAAATATATTTCGATCGCATTTCTCTACTGCTGTTTGTTAAAATAGTTGGATGCGTTCGGGAATCGATCCGGCGTGAAGTCCTCGTTATCCTGTATGTTTGATTGTACTCTGGTCCTGAGCAGTTCCCGGTAAGCGGATTGGATGTTAAGGTCGTCGCCTGCTTCCTGGGCTACCTCTTCCACGTTATTTATGGTAGACAATCCCGTCGATACCACAGCCCTCCTTATGCTCTCTAAACAGTAACGTGTTTCATAATATTAGAAAACTACTTTCTAGCAAGAAATCTGCCACTCTGAACAAACTGTCAATTACCTGCTATTACTTGCGGAAGGCTTCCCTGTGGCTTTGGACTAGTTACAATCTTGCGTCTCTTGCTGGGCATTCCCGATAAATAAGCGTCACTTAATGGCGTTTGCGGATTTTGCCGCCTCTGCCCTTGACTATCCCTGCTTATAATAGGCACCCAATCCTATGATAACAAAAATCTAGTATTATACCCCAACATTTGTGAATTGCATTTTATGTTTACTATGCATCCTGTGAGATGTATATTAAGTTCTAATAGTGTTGTTGCATTGATGTTTTTTTACTTACGTTGGGAACCTGTCCATGCCAAGATTCCGATCCTACATCGACTGCAGGCAACTCATTTTGACTATCGCCCAAGTTTATTTGCACCGCACTCGAACTGCTTGCCTGATCTACATGCTCCTCTGTTTCCATTTGCTAAAAATAATAACCAACGTGAACATCCCATATTTTATCTTTTTCTTCATATAATTACCTCCACATTGGTAGCAGTAATTGAATCAACGTTTCTAATGATATACTGCTGCAATGAGCTGGTAGGAACGCGCAAATTTGTAATAAACTGTTGCAATTGTGTTCGAACTGCTAATATTGTCCATTGCTCGACATCTTGCGGAATATAACCTTCCATGTACCGGGACTGCAAATTATAAAAATAATTAATATTTCTCATTGCAAAAAACGGTTTAGATGAGACTGACCAGTATACTCATCAGGAGGTCTTCGACGCCTCTTTGACCATTACTGCTAGCGTGTAGGATCAAAGCGCATATATGGTGCATCAACATCTGAATCTTCAAATATAACGATTTTACAGAGGTCGAGGATCTGGATACGGCGAGCATAATGATGTTTCGCAATTTCGAGCCAATTAAAAATTTCACTGATCTGACTAAGTCGATGTCCCCTTGAACAGGCAACTGGCTCAAATGATCAAAGAAAGGTTGCATTTCTTCGAGCAATTTGTTCACGCCCCTTTCAAGATTGTCGGGCGTCGGAGATCCTTCCAAAATTCTATCCAATACGAACGTACGAAGCTCATTGCGCACACGAATGAACGGTTCGACTCTGCCCGAATTCAGAGTCACCAAGTCGCCTATTGTCAAGTTTTGCGACAAGAACATTAATAGATCATTGAAGATTCCTTCTCCGTGCACAAATTCGGCAGATAATAGATCTGCAAGTGTTGGACCTCGGCTTCCGTCACCGTTCTATCATTTGAAAAGAAAATGTTAACTAATTGTTATTGTAAATTTTGTCAAATAGTCTTACGGTTGGCAAGGTAGTGGATGCGCTGGAGAGATTTGTAAATATCTGGTGAAAATTCGGTTGGTTGGGTGTTGCTGTTGACGCGCTTGTTGTAGGTGGTGTTCCATTGGATCCTGTGGAAGCACGTCTATCGTACATATTCTGAAGCGAACTCAAGACGCCTTGAACTATGTTATACACTCTTCCAAAGTTGTTGTTGGTGTTGCCATTCGTTTGGGCGCGGGCGTTATTATTGTTGCTCTGGTTCCTAAGATGAGCTCTTCGTCGGTGCGAGATGTGATGTGAACTGCAGGGGAGGAAGGGGTCGAATCCCTGCATGGCATGCTGAGATAAGTGGACGTGAGGTCTGGGTGTACTGCGAGTATGTGTGGATGTAGTGGGATTGGTTTGCGTGTTGCCTCGAGCCTGCGAATTCTGTCCGCTCTGATTGAGAGCGGATTCTGGAGTTTGCGGGCTGGTCGTCTGTGATTGCTGCGTGGAAGCAGGAGCGGTGTTCGCGACATTAGTACCGCGGTTCACAAACTGGTTTGCCATCTGAACGAAGGTCTGAAACAGTTCCGGCGGTGGTGCTCCAGCGAGATTTGCACGTCCAGCTTCTCCTCCTTGATTGGAACCACCTAGCAATGTGGTAGCTAAAGAATCTATTGTAATACTATCCGGAGTAACTTCCATAAACAATTCCACATTGGGATTTGAGCCATTATTACTAGAAGCTGCATTCGAAGCATTGGCAGCTGGAGCGTTACCTGTTTGCCTATTGGTGCCTCCGCTTGCAGACCTCATAGTTCTAATACCGATCGGGATTGTTTGGAAACTCAGTATATTCGGATTTATCGATATATTCGGCCTAGCATTACCACCACCAGACGATGGAGGAGTTGTTGTCGTAGCCTGTCCATTTACATTCGCATTAGTAGCATTACCATTTGCAGTAGTAGCATTTCCATTGGTAGTACTCGTCGGCGTAGAACTGTTTTCATTTGCATTCTCAGGACCAAAATTAATTTGTGCCTAAACAAAAATTAGTACATTAGTACACTCACTTTCGACTGTAGCGCTGTATAATCACCTCAACCTGTATTGGAAACCCGGCTTGCAACACTGCCGAATGCTGTATTAGTATTGGAATACAAGATAAAGATCGAGGAGGAGGATTTCTAACCATAAGTAATATGTCACTAAGCGAGTGATAAGCATGACCCAACAAGTGGAAAACTTCAGAAACACGAGTGATCAGCAATTGGGTTGGTCTTATGTTCTAAAAGAAATAATACATTTAATTTACATAATTCGCTGCAATTTAAAAGCAATATGTAATTACCGGTTGCTCAACAACTGCATCTTCTCTCATAAAGTTTTGATACCTTTCCAAAAATGGAGCAAACCTCGTTTGCAGTCTAGTCAATCTATCCAAAAGTTCCACCATGTCTGAAGGTCGTGATGCGCGCCTACGAATTTCAATATTATTACTGTTATCAATTCTATATTCAAGTAAAGTGTTAATCTCACTCTGCAGTATTAGTGGTATTGGCATTGGTTGTATTATTTGTAGTACTGCTCTGTGGCTCTCGGTTTACTTCAGCAGCCAAGTCTTCAGTAGAGGAAGAAATAGGTGTTGTATCTGGCGTTGAAGATCCTGTCGAGCCTTGTGGAGATATTTCAGGACTAGAAGATTGCATAGCATCGGCTGCTGCATCTGATGACGCTGTCACTGCCTGCGCACCTTCCTCAGATCCAGTGGGTCTTCTAATTTCAAGTACAATTTATTAAATAAAAATATATATATATAGAATGGTCCTAGAAACGAACCCTGAAGTTTGAGCTAAATTTTCCTGAACTGCTTCCAATAAAGTCTCTTCCAATGGTGCAGAGTCGCCCCTGGGCACAATAACTCTAGCTTCAAAAACTGGAGTGACTTCCTCTTGTGGTTCTTCAGGTGGTACAACATCTGCAGGGCGTGCAGTTGGATTCTCTAAGATGTTCAGAATAGCTTCCACCCTTCTTAACATTCTGCAAAACAAAAATCAATGAAAAAAGGGTACTTCAGAGACAATATACAATGAAAACTACCTTCTGGCCACATTCAGTCTACTTGCAGCCAGACTTTGTGATGGTGGTGGCGAAACTATATCGAAAGGCTCTACCGGAATCTGCATGGAACCAATATACATTGCATTTCCTCTACCCATTGGTGATTGGGCACTTGCAGTACTTACGTTATTTGAGCGCTGCGTTTCAGATGGCGGAGCTCTCTCCACCAAGTGAACAACCTTTCCATTAACATCTAAAAACAATATATTCAGTATGATTCATCATATTGTAAACTTATAAATTGAACATACCAAACTCATTAAGCTTTGCTTCATCATTTAAAACGCGCCCACAGTATATAATGCGCTGGGTCTCTGCTGGAATGTTCACAGTACTTGCTATTTTCTCTTTGAACTGAGCAACTGTAATCTGAAATATGGAGTTATTAATTGATATAGAGTTTTATGAATGTTATAATAGTCTACTTACATCCTCTTCCACTGTGAATTGGTGATTCTGGGAATCCAATGTCCTCACTGTTAGCTCAATCATTTTCCTGTCTGACAATAAACATTAATTAATATATTGGTTTTATTGCCTGGCAACTGATCTACTGATCTAAATTTCTCAGGAATCTTGAATACTCTTATAATTTTTATGATTCTTGTAAGCACAGAACATTCTTATAGGTTAAAGATCTGAAGCATTGAAATGTGATAGAAATGAATAGTTGATTACAGTTGTTCAGATGTGTGTATGTATAGGAACCAATGAGCACATATGCATATATATATATATATATGCATACATATATATATATACGAAATACAAAAGAAACTTGCCTATATTTCAGGTGGACACAAGAGTCGAGTTTCTTCTTGAAGCTTATAACATTAGCGAGAAATAACAGATGGGTACAATTGGACTGTTATCAATGATGGAATGGGAACACTTCCAAAGCGAACGGGCAAAGATTTTTGCAATTGGAACACTTAAAAACGTTAATCACGCCTAAAAAACTCACCAAAATGGCCTACACCTGTCAAAAGTCAGGCCTGCCAATGTGCGAAATATGCATTCAGGTTATTGATCAGCACCCGGGCAATTACATAATATTGAGCAATGTTTCGCTGTTTATTAATCGATAAAAGTAGCTGTAACTTTTGTTACTACGTTGATGCACGTTGCACGAGTGAGGCAATTTAAAAAAGTTGTGAAATTCGCAAATTTTCAATACGCTTATTGATTTCTGTACCAACCAAATAAATGTTTAGAAAGATGTCATCATCATTCAAAAAGCCGAAACTTTTGGTCTTCGACTTAGGTATATAATGATAAAACCATTGAGTGTCAATGTCATGTAACGATTTACTTTTATCTTGCAGATTATACCCTGTGGCCATTCTGGGTGGACACTCACGTTACGCCTCCCTTTAGAAAAAGGTAATATTGAGGTTAATTCAGTAGATGATCATCAATGCTATCCATATGTTTAGCTACATATTTCCACATATTACAGTATAATTGATAGCACAAACTAACAGTGACAGCAGAAATAAAAGGTTCAAGATTTCTGCAGCAGTGATTCTTAACCATTGGGTCTTAGTTTCAAAAAGTTAAGAACCACTGATCTAGTCCTGATATTGACCAGACTTGTTCAGCATTTCCCATTGGTTGAGCAGGCTTAAATGCAAATGCGCGACAAATAAACAGTTGCCAATGGGTGCTGTAGAGACGATCATAAAAACTTCTAAGAATTATAAAATGAAATAGCATAAACATGATTTTCAGAGAGGAAAACAATGCAGAAATGTATTTATAATTTGTTCTTTCTCAATACAATAGTATTGAGAATTTGATGTGTAGAAAATATGTATAACAGATTTTTTTCTGTTCTTTTCATTATGTCAGTACTTCAGGTGAAGTTTTGGATGCCCACGCGCAGAAAGTTAAACATTATCCGGAAGTGCCAAGAGTGCTGGAGACGTTGAAAAGGCAAGGGTACATCTTAGGTATCGCATCCAGAACCGGAGAAATTGATGGAGCAAATCAACTACTCCAATTATTCAACTGGGATAAATATTTTACATACAAACAAATCTACCCAGGTTGCAAAGTGAACCATTTCAATAAGTAAGACTTCGCCATCTTCTGAATGTAAACATACGATATTCAAATTATTTTTAGGATAAGAAAAGACTCGGGCATCGAGTTCGACGAGATCATATTCTTCGACGATGAACAGAGGAACATACAGGATTTGACGAGGAAGGGCGTCATGTCGGTGTTGGTAAAGTCCGGAGTAAATGCGAAGGTCGTGGACGATGCCATCGCGAACTTCGGCAGCTGAAGACTTCGCAGATTTATTGCTCAGCACGAGTTTAGTAATAATAATATAAAAGCATCATTTATTATTCACACAAAAAAAAACAACACTAATATCTGCATTCACAAAATAAATCTGTACAATAATTACAATAATATATTATTTATATCAAAAAATACAATTCACACAGAAAATCACAAGGTTTCTTCTCTTACTAGAATATAATCAATTGTCAATAAGCTTTGTAACCTTAACATTATATTCGTTTTAAAAAAATATATGTATATCAGACTAGTGGAGAAGTTAAATTTTATATAATATATTCTTGCTATATAATATATAAAATAATGTAGAGAAAAAAAAAGGAGGAAATAGAGAGAAATAGAAAAAGAGAGAGAGAGAGCAAACTGAAATCGTGTTAGCGATTATTATAATAATAATTATATTATAATAGTATACATCATCAAAAACAAATTGAAAATAGCTTCTAAATTCTCGAGGCACAATAATATTTTTTTCTTGTCGTTATATGTATGTATATGTAATTATAAATGAGCAAATAGCTGACTCTCAAAATGTCTTGCGTCAAACTCTTAAAAAGAAATACGATTAGGAAAACTGAATTTCAGTTACAATTTACATATGAAAATAAATTAACGATCCTATTCTTCAGCGACCTTCGCGATTGGCGTTAAAGATATTCCTTTTGCAAGCATCTGTTCTTCTAAACCCCTGTCCTCTGCGTTATACCTACAAAAAAAATATCAGCGTTAATGAAAAAAAAAATGCGAATAATTCGAGCGTTAGAGTTATGGTAAACAAGTAAAGTTAGGCAAGTTAATAATAGTTACGAGAGGGGCAAAGTTAAGACCTTTTTCTATCATCCTCCAGGAGTTTAGTGAGTGAATCCCTTTTATTTACAATATCCAACATCTCTTTAATAATACTGCCATCAATATCGGCGTCCTGCTGCGTTTTGTGACCCTCTGAAAAAGAACGATTCGGTTACAGATGACCGCAACTCAAACACAAAATAACGTTCGCTTTACGTTTATCCAATCTCTCCTTGAGCTCGTGCTGAAGCCTCGCGTGTCTATCCTCCAACTCGATTTCTTCCGCGCTGATGTTCAGCTCCCTTTCGTACCTCCTCAATTCCATCCTATCACGCATCAATTCGAACCACTCTTTAAGTAAATCAGTCTCATCGCGATCGGCATCCGCGGATTCGCCACGCAACGCCTTCTCCACCTTGACTCCCCTCGACTCTAATTCGCGTGTCTTCACCTCGGTCTCCTCCAACTTCCGCTGAATCTCCTGAGCCAAGCGATGTCTGTTGATTGTTGATGGTTAGTCGACGACGGTTAGTTGTAAGTGGAATTTGATTAGATTCGATTAAACTAGACAAATGTTATGAATTGGAATGATAATTACCGTTTCAGCTGCGATTGCCTCGCCGCTTTTCGAGCGCTCCGACCGCTCCTCTTGTTTAGACTGCCCATGGAACAATCTTTGGATTGATCTAAAGTATCGCAACTCGAACGATCCGCACATTTCCAATCCGTATCACAATCCGAACTGTCTTCTAAAATATCACCAAAGTTAACATTATAAATACAAATACACACAAACAAATCGTTGGTATTTACCGAAACCCTTGTTTTCCGGATAGTTGGCGGGAAGGGGCGGTACCGGCGGAGGCGTAGGAGCCCTCCACATTTCGGCAATGCTATTGGTCCGCACCAAACCTTCTTTTATAACATCCTAAAATAACAACATAATTTAAGCAACAAACAACAACAGATACGTGTACAGCTACAACTTAATCAAAATTATATAACAACAACGAGGTGAGAACAAAAAAAAAAGAAATTAGTAATAATTAAGTTAATTCGTTTCGTTAACGTTTATGAAAAATGCAACATCAAATTCTGTAATACTGTAGTACTATATATAGGAGAGTGCAAACATCAAGTGTTTATGCTGAAATACACGTTCAACATTTTTACCATGCATACCAAAGTGATTTTTTTCTTCTTGCGAATATTCAAATAAAATCTACTCAAAATAAAACAAAACCGTAATAGTAATGATAATAATTGCACTGCGTCTAAGCAGGCGCATGCCGTCTGTTAGTTTAAAAAAATCGATTACGTAATAAGTCCAAATTACACAACAAATAAAATAGTAATATACTGAAATCCTTACGCTCTCTGTTTGCCGTAGATCTATGCAAGACTGCAAAAACAAGATAATCTTCAATATTTGCCAATAGTAGAATTTTCAGAAATGTAGTTTTTTTTTTAGAAGCATATGTATAGATACGTTCTATTATTTCGATTTGTAAATAATTAAAGTCATACCTTGGATTTATCCTTGGACTTTGGTGATATTCTGGATAGGAAGCTACCCTTGTTACTGCCGCTATTGGCATCCTTCTTCTTTGCGAAAAGATCGGTGAATATCTTGGTAATACTTTTCCTTCTCTCTCTGTCTTTCTTCTTTTTATCCCCTTCCACGGACGCAGCTTTCTGACTGGTGCTCTCCAGCAAATTGGAATCTGATTTAAAGCACTTCTTATCCCCGCCATCCTTTTCGTTGACCTTCTTGATGCTGAATAGTTGCTGCCTCGTTATTTCGGAAACGGACTTAGTTCTCTCCCTATCACCTTTGCTGTTGCACATATTGAAATGATCTTCGCCGCTCTTTGATCTTCTAAAGATGTTGCTCTTCTTCGTCGTGCTGTTCGGATAGAGCAGAGAATTTCGTCGTTCAGTATTCATGACCAACGACTCGATGCTGTCCTGGATATGAACGTCGACATCGTTGTTTTCCTTTCCACGCCTTATCCTTTGTCGGAGTTTTGCCAATTTCTCTTCTGGACTTAGACCAAGATCCTCGTCCGAAAGTAGCCGTGCTCTGGCTCTTGCATCCTGCTTCAACTTCTCCACAACTCTCTTGGCCTCTTCGTTCTTTAAACGAGGAGGCGCTTTCGGCGTCTTAAACTCATCGGTGATCGCCTTGTGAATATCAGGAAGGCTGAATGCTTCCGTGTTATTACTGGATTCGGTGATCATGTTGTCTTCCTTTAGGAATGGCGTATGCACACTGAAAGGTCGGATGTTGGCCTGGTTAAACTTCGAACGAGGCGCAGGTTTAGGTTCGGGCGTTGATGTAGCAAATCCACTGAAAGCTCCGACAGTCTCCGATTTTTGAAGCACGTTTGGAGACATGGTGGATAAGAGAACATCGGGAGTAGCCAATTTACCAATTTCCGCCGTTGCCGATTTAGTGAGTTCGAAAGCTCTGTTCGGACTGGGACTGAAAGAACTCCTATTCCTTCGCTTTCTCTCCAACGATTTGTTCTGTGCCTTCATCTTGTTCATGACCATCTCTTGAACTAGTTTCTTATTAACATCCCGTTCGTACTCGATCTGCTGCTTGAAAGTCCTCACCGGAACTGCGTCTTTTTCTTCCTGAATTAGGTCTGGTTTAGGTGGACTTCCGGACTTGCTCTGACGACGCGACTTCCTTATGTCGATCGAGTCTTTGGCATTTCCGAAATCAATTTTTGATTGTAATCGCTGACAATGCCGATCGAATTCTAATTGATCGTCTTTGCGTTGTTCGTAATGCTTCTTCATATCCTTCTTCACTTGCGCTAATTTATCCTCCAACCTGAGCTTCCTATTCATCTCAGACTCCCTCGGTACATCGATCTCTTTCGGTGGGACAATTTCGGTGACGTTCTTAACAGTTGAATCACTGCAAGTGTTCTCCTCCGTAGTCGTTCCAGCTGCATCCACAATCAACAAAGAATCCTCTTCGGGTTCCTGTAAATGTTGCTTCTCCTTCAACTTTTCCAAATCGGTGGCTTTCAAATCGATTACCTCCGCGCCGAACGAGTTCTTTTCGGAATCGATCACGCAGTAGCCAGTGTTTCTGGATACACTGGACACATCATCGAAGTCCTCATCAAACGTGGCTTTAATCCTGGGATTCGTTGCTTCCGCTATATTCACCATGTACGGTGTTAAACTATCTTCCGCTATATCCTCTTCGTCGTGGAATTGCACGTATCCGTTGTTTTTCACCTCGAATAATCCATCGTCGCTACTCTCGGTGCCGGTATCCATGAACTCGATGTTTAATTCGAGGCCAGGATTGAGGACACTCGTAACACATTCTTTCATTGATGGAACTTCAGATTCTTCTTTGTTCGCTGACGGTTTCATATGTTCCTTTGGCTTTTTGATTTCAGGTTTACTGGCTATCTCCAGATCCGTGTTGAGCTCGTAATCCAATTCACCCGAACCCATTTCATCGTGCGCCCAATCGGATAGTTCCGTTTCGGTGAGCACAGCAGTCAGTTGATCTTCGTTCATCGAAGGACTGCTTCTTCCACTGCCAGCATCCTCCACCTTCGGTTGATCATGATGTACCGAATGCACCGAATTAAGAATCAAGTCATTATCCATCTTTGGTAGAACCTTGGGTTGATTTAAAGTTTTCTTTGCTGCCTTTGTAGATTCGTTTATCGAACTTGGCTGGCTTTCTAATTTGATATAGTTAATATCAAGGCTATCGAGCGTTATATTTTCTTTAGCGTCGATATTCTGAATTTCCACGCGTGGGATATTGTTGAAGGCCTTGACGCTGGGCGATTTTTTAATATTCGGTTCAGATTCGCTGCTGCTGCTACTGCTGCTGGTCGAATCGCTGGTGGAGGCTGGCTGCTTTTTCTGCAGAGACCAATCGATTTGAGGTACAATTATCGAAGTTTCGTGCACGGGACTCCTCGGACGGCCTTCGGTTTCATTAACGACCGGAGACACGACCGGGTCGATTTTTTTCTCCTCCGCTTTAGGAACTACTTCTTTGGAAACGGCATTGCTTGGTGTAGGGGACACCGGCTCTTTAGGCTGCGAGGCTGACTTTAACAATTTCTGGCAATCGGATATGGTCGAGTGGAACGATTTGAATTTGGAATCCAAAGTCGAAGCGCTTCCGGATTTTTGAATGCTATTGATACTGGGAGCATCGCCAAGCAAATACTTCTTCTTCAGTTCCAACGACACTTTGGTAGCAATTCCGCCTGTGCTCTGGGTCCTGTTCAATGCATAACCTCCTTCAGATCTCAGAAGGTGCGGTTGAGGTGTCGGTTTCCTAATCGGTGTCTGCACGAGCGGCACGAATTTGAGTTCAATATCCTTGCTTTGGGGCTTGGAGAGTACGGTCTTCTGGATTTCTGTGGACGTGACCTGCACCTTTTTGGGTGGTATGTATTTGCCCCTCGTCTTGGTCACAAACATATCATTAAAGACGATTGCTGGAACTTCCCTCGTCGGTGTCGGATCATCTTGCGCGAATTCAGAATCAGTGGATATTTCCGTTGCCGAATTTTGCACCTCACTCGAGGAATCCGTGCTGCTATCATCAGACGCAATCTAAAGTCAAACAATAAAATTCATTAATAACAAATCTCTAAATGCATTATTTGTAACGCATGCAACTTGCACAAATAATTGTATTCATCTTTTAACAAAAATGAATAAAATTATTCCCGCAAGAAATAATAATAATACATCTAAAACAAACACAAAAGATTGATATTAATCAAGCTTAGTGGAAATTTCGTCTTCCGAGAAATCATCCTCATTCCTTTAACTCTAACGAAGTCTTAGATAGGCCTTAATTGTATGTTAAGCAACACTCACGTCAGCAATGGGCTAGTAATTAAATTAATTGTTAATTTCGCACAAAAATAAAAACTTAAAAGAAAAAGAAATAAAGAAAACATCAAAAAAACACACACATAGTTACCTTAGAATTTTACCATTGCTAAGACGTGACTGTTGACCGGAAGGACGTTGAAAATATAACTTACTTCGTTTGTACAAAATTTACAATAAATGGGGGAAAATCTTAAAAATTAATCTTGTGAATGCACACATAACGCGTAATAGTAATTTTGAAACTTTGCGGATTAGTAGACTTAGAAAATAGTTTAAAATAATAAAGAACATCGCTGTAACATCGAATAAACCTTTCAAAACTTAACAAAGGATGATCAAGTTCATTTAGCTTCATATAGGCGAATATTTTCTACCCGTAAAAAAAATATTGACTAGATTAAAATTAAAATAATAGTTGTAACAAAATGATTTTCGATATACATAAATATATCATCTCACTGTATGCAGCACTCTTTCTCCTTGCTTTTCGAAGCCTTCCTCTCCTTCTTATCCATCGTGGAAGACCTGCTGCGCCCCCTTTCCGGAGACGCTTCGTGCTTCTTGGTGCGAGGTGGTAAAGTTGGAGGACATTCGGCGAGCTTTTTACGAAGAGGAACTGTGGGTGCGACTTCGAGTTTCCTACTCAAAATTGGTGAATTATCTGCAGAGCGTATATTTGTAGAATTGCCAGGTACATTCAAATGCGTTTTTCTTTCCAGAGATTTTTGTCTCGCTGGTCTGCTGGGTGGTGGTTCCGAAGATTTCCTAGCCCTTCTAGGGATCTGAGGAGAATATGTTGCAGAATTACCAGAATCATCTCTGATCTTTTTATCGTCATTCTTTTGTAAACCAACTTCAGATTCAATAATGAAATTCTCCTTATTTTCCGAACTTGCGGCATTGTTGCCACTTAAATTATTTAATTTTGATTCAACCTGTTTAGCATTTTCAGATCTCTCAAACTCTTTATTGTCGCCACTTAAGTCATTTAAGATTGACACATCTTTGATTTCAACATCAGAGTTCTCTTTCAAAACATCTACTTCAGGTTCTTTATCTACTGAACTTTGTACATCTGTAGTACATAAATCATCTAAGTAAGTCTCTTTTGGAGATTCAATTTCAGAATTTTTCATTTCAGTCTCAGATCCTGTATCTTCTTTATTTTCCGATGTGTTATTATCATCGTCACTTAAATCATTACGATCTTGAGATTCCATTTCAGAATTAACTATATTTTCAGCAGATTTTAAAGTATTTACAACATTACCAGAATTTTCGACATCTGTATTTTTAATCTCATCTAATTCAATTTTATGTTCATTTGAGTCACATTTTAATTCAACATTTTGATCTCTATCACTCTCAGAAGTTTGTTGTTTCTTTTGAACCTTAGCATACAAATCTTCAATATTAATTTCAGGTTCATTTTCTATCTTCGTCAATTCTTCAGATTGATTTTCCATTTTCACCAATTCTTCAGAGGTATTTTCATTTTTACACAATTCAACATTTTCAATCACTTCAGATGTACTAGGCTCATTCACGTTTTCCTTATTATCGTTCTCATCCAATTTACTATCATCGTGATTCATTTTATGCTGCAACTGCGATATTTTCTCCAAAATATCGTTGAAATCCTTCTTGTTGCTCTCTGCAGCTGCCATCTCCTTCTCGATGCCTTTAGTTAGCGTATCGAAGCCTTCCAGCATATCACTAATTTCAGTTTCAACGTCGCTCTTAACAGAGTCCTTATTTTCAAATTTCGTTTCCTCAACATTATTATTGTTGTTATTATTTTCCGAATAGAAGAATGGATTGATCGTAGATTTAACCACGCATTTGCTCTCGTAAAAGTTCGGACTTCCTTCGCTCGATTCAAAACTATCCTGTTTCTTTTTAAAGCTGAAATTTCCAAAGGAATTCCTTTTGCCGAATTTCCTCTTAGGTAAAACTGGCGACTTTTTCGGATCGTCGCTCTCGAAACTCTCGAACTTCCGAAGTACTTTCTTGATATCCACCCTACTCATCGCATCTAAATCGATGGATTTTCTAGATTGATTACAATACACATCGGTTTTTGATCTCGCTAAAGCAAAGTTCTCGTCTTCGACTGAAGCTCCGACCGGTTTTCCGGACAAGTGCCTTTCGAAGTATTTTATGTTATCCTTTGGTAATTTTGAGATTATAGATTCCGCTCGTTTGGGACTTTTCAATGCCCGCTCTAAATTCTTATATTTAATGTCGCTGAGAGATCTTTGAACCTTGGATGTGGTTTGGTGTTCCAGATCATCCATCCAGGACAACAAATCGTCGATTTTCTCGTCCGTTTGTAATCCAACCTCTTCGTTTTGTTTCTCTATAGTTTCGGATTCCAGTGCTTTCAATAGATCTTCTATGCTGTTCGAGAGCTTCTCCTCATCGGAAGGTTCGTGTGGTGGTTCTACAAGAGTAGCCGGATCTACCGGTTTCATGAGTTCATCCTCGTTCAAGATGAGATCCTCAATGTAATCCTTCAGATCGTCCTCGACGGGATCAAAATTGAATAACTTAACATCTTCGCTCGCTTCTACAGTTTCCTCCTTTACATCTTCCTTCTTGGGTATATTAACAACTTTTGGTGTGTCGCTCACTCTCCTGATAGGTGGCGGCTTCGGCTTCGGTTTGCTTTCACCGAAATACTTTTTGGCATCCAGCAAGTTCGATTTGAGTGCGACCTTCGGCTTCGTCTCTTTGGGTAAGTTTATTTTGCTCGGAGTACGTTTGATGATGAGCAGTGGCTCGGGATTCGAAGCACTGAATGCGGGAACGAATTCCTTGCCGAAACTCTTGCGATGCTCTTTCGGCGGCAGAACAAAATTGCGTTTCACTTTAGGTTTAACCGCGACTTTAGAGTCTTCTTCGTTACATTTATTATTATTACTACTACTATCGTTACTAGTCTTACTTGTACCGTCATCCGTTAACTTAACATTGTTATTTTCTAGATCAGATTCGGCGCTGTCGAATTCGCACGAGTTATCGTCGGAGGATTTTTCTGGTTCTTGATCGATAGTGGGAGTTGGGGAGGAAAGGAGGATTGGGCTATTAGAAGACATTTTCACCTCTGTATCGGTGCCGGTGTCGGTGTGAACCACCGGCGGTTCGACTCGCACTTCCTGTTTTCGCAACTCCCTGGCACGGATCTCTTCTTCACCTTCCGTTGCTGTATCGGAATCATCTTCTGAAATAATTACAAGAACAACCAAAAAAACACAAATTACTCAATTAATACTTAAGAAATAATTGTTATTGATATTACCTCCACTGCTATTTTCGTAGCTGGAGCAATTGGAGTCGGAGCTGTAATTGTCGGAATCATCGCTTTTCTTCATGTACTTTCGACTGTACCGCTCAACCCACTTCAGAGTACCTTCTTTGGTCGGCGGTTCTTCCAACGCTTCCTCGTATTCCTCGTCGTCTGAGTCGGTATCACTAAAATTGAAACCTTAGCAAAACAAAATCATTACCCTTACGTTGATGATGTACCTTATGCTAGAAGAATCATCGTCGCTGATTTCGGCGGTAGAAGGCCCGAAATTCCTATCTGTCCATTCATCCTCGTCCATTTGACTCAAGGATTCTTCGTGGTCCGAAGATGCTTTGGCAGTGGAAAGAGTGGACACCCTCTCTGGTGTTTGGACTAGCAATTAAAAAAAAAAACACAATTAACACAATTTTCTCACTTTCAACTTGAACCCAAACACTTACCACGATCTAATAAATCAACGCCCGCAACGCCGTGCATTTTCTTCTCGGGGCTCCTCGAGCTCTCCTTGTGCCGTTGCGAGGGTTTCCTGGAGACTTTCGTCACCGGTTTCAATTCTCCAGGCATACCGAAATGTTGCGAACAGTAAAATCTGAAACCGAATCTGCCGTCCCTGTCGAACTGATATGAACCCAAACGAAGTACAGTGTGACAATACTGGCATCTATTGCAATAGAAACACAAAATAATCATATTTTAATTTTAAGTTTATATCTGATGATCTATCTATATCGCAAATGTTCATATTTTTATATTATCTGATCTCATCACATTTTGATAATTGTGATAATAAAAAGTATATTATTATTATTTTTTAAATAATATTATAAAGGGCTATATAATATTATAAAGGGCTACTATAAACGAAAAAGTACTTACTTGAAACAATCGCGATGGAAAAACTTGCCTTCGGCAGATAACCTCTCGACGAAATAAACCCTCTTTTTGCAGAAATGGCAAGTCTCTGAGTTACCTTGGATGGGCATAATCAGGGCCGTTTTATTGCCTTGCCTCTGGATCGGTTTCGCTTCGGGTTCCTTCGGTACGAATTTCTCGGTTATATTTGCCACCTTATGTTGCTGATTCAAATCTCTAAGCGATCCCTCTTTAAGGCGCAAATCGAGGATTTTTATATTCTTATCAATCTCGGCAAATTTACCTATTTAAAAAAACAGTAATAATATTGATTATTAAAAAAAAACAATTTGTATTGTTAGAAAATGCATCATTACCACCGGTACTGTCCTGCCTTTCAATGTGCTGCTTCTCCATTTTAGTCTGCCTTGCCAGGAATTGTTCCCTGCTCCACTTCGGCACCTTCTCCTTATCCTTATTCCCAATCTTACCGAGTTTGTTCTGGATGATCTTCTTCTCGATCTCCTTGATGTTCCAATCGGAATTGTCAATTTTCCCGATTGCCCTCAGCAGATCCTTGGGCTTCTTCTCGGCCATCGCGTTCTCCCGCCACTTATCCTCCATGCCCTTGATCCTGGCCTGAAAATCGTCGTCTTTCTCGCCTTTGCCTTGCGAAGGAAGCCGGTCACTTCTCTCCTACAACATCAACATTACGTATATTACGACACAGACAATGGAAATCGCGTTCGAAAATCATGTTAAAAAAAGTTAAAACACACAAAAAAAACAATAACTGATACAATTAGATAGAGAGTTTTAGATTTTGTATGGGTTGCGGGGGGCAGCTGTTGTAGGTTCTCTTAAAGCACACCAAAACACTTTTGGCTTACTGGGATGTAAGTGAACTTTTTCTCGAGGTCTTTGACGCGGTCCTCGAAGTTTGGAGCGGTCTGCCGATAGACAAACAGCGAGTAGTCTTCGAAGGGTTCCGAATGGTCAGGCTTGCAGTTGGCCTGCAGCATCTGCATGCTCTTTATGAACTGATCCGTCTGCATTTTCCGTTGCTGCCTTCTCTTGCTCTGCCTCTCGCATCTGTTCTGTGCAATCTCTTCTAACCTCCTCATCCGATCTTCCTTCAGTTCACAAAATACAACATTCTATTTAGACCGAATTTACAAATCATAACAAACGCAACGAAAACAAAAATAAAAACAACATCCATGCAAACACTGTAAAATAGTCTACTTTATATATATATAGGTATTTATATATAATATATGTTTGTATATTTCTCTTTTTAATCTTAACTAAAACAGGAATGTGGGCAGACCATACGAGTCCGAATTTATCAGTAAATCCAAGCCAAATAGTGTTAGACCAACGAAACTTGTCTCCCAAATCACATTTATTAATTCCTTAAGAAACTAAAAACAAACAAAAAATAAAAAAATGTTATTTGTGGGATCATCATTAAAAAAGAGGGCCATAAATGGATTGTTTGTGGTTAAAATAAACATATTAAAATTAAATTAATATGGAATATCTGTAGGTGGGTTAGTTTAGGAGAAGGATTTAAAGTAATAAAATAAGTGCATGTTAATAGAATAGAAAGTATATGTATATATTAGTAGAAGATATATAATAATAATAATCATGTCCAGTGGTAGAAGAAATCGATTATTTCATAAACAATTCGAATAATAATTAAAATACTCACCACATTGGCGAATGACATTTTCTCCATGGTTTTTCGTTTCTTCTTGCGGTCGAGCGATGCAGCGGCTGCAGTTTTCGTTTGTATCGGAGACGGATCCACAACGTGCCTCTTATGTCTGCTGGAAGGTCTCTGAGTGGGTGCAGGCACCTGGTTGTTGACAACACCAGCAGATGCTGCCGCAATGTGCTTGAGTGCTGGATGGTTCTTGTTGAAGGGTAGTTCCACACGCTTCAGACTCTCTGGTAACTCCTAAGAAACGTGCAAGAAATAAATACACAATGGATTTATTTGAGCCAAACGGAATTCCTAATTACAATCAATCAATAGGGACAGAATAGGCAGAATGTGAAGGCATCTTGGAAGCATAGCCAGAGCAAGGGCAGAGCGATAGGTAGAAGGAAACTCAGGACAGAAACGAAACAACGTACAGTCTCTTCGTTCTCCACGATCACCGAGAATATTCCGGGCGGCTCCGATCTCGATCGTATTCTTTTCTCGTACAGCTTGTTTGCGGGACAGTGAGACATTCTGGAGGTGGTCACCCTCTCCGGATTCTTCAGCTCTTCCAGAAACTTGTTGATGCTCTCCATGGATGCGGACTTGACGCCACCCGTGCCTCCTGCCCCTCCATCTCTAACATTCTTCGAGCAAATCACCGGACTACCGTCAGCGTTGAACCTCATCAGATCGGTAAGCTTCTCGACGACAATCTCGCTGTTCAGCTGTTTATTCTGCTGACGTGTCACCGACGTGATGTCAGTGAGGCCGTCAATTTGGACGCTGCTCGCCTTCGGCGAATCACTGCCATTCCTAATATCAAAGTCGCTGACGCTGATCCAGTTTACGACGCGGTCAAAGGTGTGCTCAGCTTGCAGCATAGTGTTCGATTCCTGATGGCTCATGTTCGCTAACGACAGAAATTTTTTCACACCGAAATTGTCATCGTAACATTTCAAACCTTTTGTTTTTTTCGCTTTTGGCACTCCCTGATCCAGACCCAACCCATATCTCAGAGTCTCCACAATCCTCGGAAAGATAATGTTCACGCAATTCGAGATCGGATTCAGCTGTATCTGCGTCTTATTCTGTATAAGAATATCCACAGACACTTCAGGATTCAAGATATTCCGTTTATTGATCTCGCAGCATTCGCAAATCTCATCACCGCCCTCTTGAACAGCTTTATCCGCCTTCTGCTCATTTCTCACATCGGTCTGAACGGATTTATCATCTACAGTTTCAGAGAAATGCTGCACACCTTTTTCGTAGTTAATACTCTTCCTGATAGTGTCTATTATCGAAACGGTCTGATCACCGGAAACGTTTTTCGCATCATCTGCATTACCGAAATTATTAATGACACGTTTTCTCCTCAGCGCATTTCTATTTCTGTTGCATTTCCTCTTTAGCGCTGCGTCAATTTTCTCTTGCAACAATTTACTTTCTAGCATGTACGCGTTTTTCGTGATCGCGTTCAAATTCCTGTGGATTATCTTCTCCACGCATTTAAACTTCGGTTCTACTTTAGTTTGCAACTCAACAAAATCTTCTTTTTTCTCTTCCAATTTAGCATCATCATCTTTTGCAATCGGTAAAAGTTCGGATTGTTTACAATCGGCAGGATTTTGAATACATTCAGTGCACGACGCCTTTAGAATCTTTTCTTTGAGTTGTTCGAGTAAAGGTTCAGGGGATTTGGACGGTATCGAGAATTTTGATTTGGGAGTTTGGTTCTTAATCTAAGGTTCGGTTTGTTGAAAGGATTTAGATGCAATCTTTAAAATTAAAAATACTTACCAATTTCGGATGTTTAATATGCGGAATTTCGCAGCGGAAAACGTCATATATTTGAGTCAAGTAGGATAGCATGGTAACATAATCTGGTCCATCTGAAGCCACCATTTCTTCAGCTTGAATTACAGGAGGAATACCTAAATACAATTTAGATATTAATAGATGTTGGCTTTTGCTTGTTCGAGTTTACCTAATTCTTTGTCGAGTATATCAAATACAACTTGATTGTTGTAAGTCGGATCTTCGGCATTGACCGAGCTGTAATCCAAGAGGTCAGGTCTGTAGTGGCTGATGAGAGCGTACAGGACACGACCATCTTTGAAGGAGGACGTGATATCTTCGACTCGAAGATCCTCGTGCTCCTTTATTTGATCTCTGATCCAAGGCAGAAGGGTGTCGACATCAACGTGCGAATCCCGCCTTCTTCTCTTCTTAGGAACGTCGAGTACGGTGCCGGTGTAAAGAGTCTTTACACGATAGTCGATACTCTTCGGATCATCCGTGTCGTAGAAGCTTATGGTTTGCTGAGGCATCAAAAGACTCCTGTTTAGATTTGGATAGCGCGTTACCGGATCTAACGTGTAGCTCTTGTAATCCTTGTTGAGATTTTCCGGAGTGGTTTGAGCCAGAAGCCTGTAAATCGATTCGCGCTCGGCCAGCACTTCCAATGGAGTCGACATCCCAGAACCGTAACTTCTGATCGCCCAGCCGGCATCCAAGGCAGACAGGAAACCCCTGGCACAGCCAGAACCAGTTGGCCAGAAAGGCTACATAACAACAGTTAACAATAATTTTTTGTCCAATAGAATTGTAGTTAATTTTACCTCTAGCAAACTGTCGCCTACTAAAATAGTAAGTAATCTGTAGCCGTGTCGTTCGATGATCCTCGAAGCATTCTCAGCCGCATACATTGAAGTGAAATCGAACATAGCTACGTCCGGTTGCCCGTAATGATTAACAGCAAACTCTAAATCGAGCATTTTGTAATTTGTGCTGAACTCCGCAGCTTCCCGTGCATAATTCATCAAAGCTTCACGATCGACGTTATCCGGCGCTAACAAACGCGCCGTATCGGCCAAATCCTGCAAGAATTATATGCAATCAGAATACACTACTCGTAAATTTAACGCATCACCCAGTTACCTGCTTAATGACGCGCTTTTCAATTAAACTCGTTTTCTTGGCAGTCATTACAAAATAGTGCGTGTCATCTTTGTAGTAAACTATGTTCTCCAGATCGATGCCGGTATCCTCGAACAGATCCTTAAAGAACTTCTGATTGAAAATGAACGCGACGCCGCTGATCTCCTCCACCCTTGCCTCGGCCTCAGTGCGTTTGTTTATAAAATTCGCAGTGATGGCGATGGCCAGTTTTCCCCTGAACTCGTTCCGCGTGAATCCCTGCAACGTGTTCCTCTTTCCGTCCGCCCCGATAATAACATCGAATTCGTATTGCGATACAGGATGATCGGAGGGTTTGAATTCCGCTCTCCATCCAGTTTCTAAAAGCAATAAATTACACACACACAAATAATTTACTTAATTCAAATTAACTATTCATTACGTACTGTCTTCTAAGCTAGGTTCGATCAATCGCTCGAAACTGACTTCGGTGTGCACCTCGACGCCCAGCAGAAGAGCGGCTTTCAGCAAGATGCATTGCAATTGTCTTATACTGATGTGGTCGATGGCTCCGGCGCAGAATTTTCCAAAGAACTTTTTCGCTCCTAGCAGCCTCAGATCGTCAATAACGAAAGGCCACAGATGCAAAACATTATTACGGGACATACGATCCCTCTTTTCTATAACAACCTGAAAAAAATAGGCCAATCAGGGTTTTGTACCTTTGCGTAATAAATATAAGTTTATAAATTTAAAGCAGTGTTTTTCAAATGAAAAATACATTCCATTTCCAATATTTGAATAACACAGACCGACATATACCATAAACATAGGCAACCCATTCTACTTGCACCAATAATGCAGTGGATGCGCCGGGTATAGTTAAACTGAACATTTTTCAAAACACAAAACTTACAACTTTGGCTCCGAGAAGTTGAGCTTCGATGGCCGTCCTCAGACCGCAGGGTCCGGCCCCGATGATGAGGACGCGCGTGTTCGGACACATCTTCCCCTTGCCGTAGCATTTGTGGTTCGCCCTCAGATCGAACTTCTTCCATAGCGCCTTCGCCCTCCACGAGGTCAGATGTGATCGAAGCTTCGGGTAGAACTGTGGGAAGCAGTTCGGCTTCAGGTGGACGCTGTCGCATATGTATCTGTAGTATCCTAGGATGGTCTTCAAGGTGGTTGCGCCGAGGAAGAGGTCGAAGTATTGGTTTGCGAGGGCGGCTTCGTGCGCGGTGACCGGCCTGCCCCTGGGTTCCGCCGCATTTTGGTGCGAGCCGTTATTTCGTTGAGCCATAATTTAATGCCGCATATCTAAACACAGAGAAACAGAAAGAACAACAATTAATATCATTGTCAGTGCAAACCACGTAATAGCAATAACACATCTTCAAGTTAAATTGTTGTAACGGTAACGTATTCCAAATAATAAACGCATACTTTAATACGTTATCAGAGTTGATAAGAATTTAAAACAAAAAAAAATCATACGAACATCATAAATCCTATGTTTATTAGAGCATTAAATGTTATATAAATTATTGTTATTACTTTCAATAAATTCAATTACAAATAAATTTCCACGATATTAATTTATTGATTAAAAGCAACATAATAAATAATAAAAAAAATAGAAAACCCGGATATGAATTTTATTTTATGCTTTTATATAAAGTGTGTTAATTCAGTAAATGTAAACCCAGTCAATACGTTAATACGATGTACAAATTTATGCACAAACAATGAATTTTAAACTATTACCAAAAGAGGAATACATTCAGTTTCGAACATATTTTAGTAAACGCATGCATACACATACACGTGCAGCAATATAAATAAACAGTAAAAAAATACAATTAACAGATGTTTTATTATAAACAAATATAGCTTATACAGAGAATAAACTTAGTTTGTGGGGTATGTTAAATATCTTACATACTTAATAATATTTTATACCATATTTTCTTATAAATTCATGGATTAAGTAGAATAGATATTTTATTTAATACTTTTGCCAAAATCTTACATAACTCTAACATCTGTTACTGTTAACAATTGCAAGATTACAAAAATGAAAACATTTGTTTATCAAACAATAACATTTATAAAGAAATTTGATAAATTGAACAATTGAAAAGACAATGCAAATGTTATTATTATTGTCAAGACATTACGTCTACATTTGAATACGACCACACGACGGTATTATCAACAATGAGGAAAGGAAAGTTCCTGACGCATTTCCAGTAAGCGAGTAGTAATTATTATCTCGGGAGAATAAAAAAAAAGTACGGAGTCAATAAACATTCTCATTTTTCATCGTCACCTTATCTCTTCTCTCCACGCCACACAATTATCACCAACAACGAACGTCTAGTGTTCATCCAGCGTTATTATTTTTTTTCCGTTTTATTTCCATTTAGGAATGTCAATTTGAATGCACCGAATTCGAACGAATCGCCTAATGCGGGCATATTTTATTTTGTGGGTTCGTCTCTTTCCTCTCTCTCTCCGCTCCAATAAAACAATCGTTCATAGATGAATAAACAACACCGCTTGATGCCCGCACCTGTTTCCATTGCACAGGTCGGTCTATGAGTAATATATGCTTCGACTATGAGTTATGAAACGTACGACGGGGCACGTTCACATTATGAGTATGCACTTTATGCTATTTTCACGCTTACACATATATGCTTCAAGGTAATTAGGAATAACTACTGCTAGCCATTAATCTAATTCACTAAATAATAAATGATACAAATATACATTAAAATTGCATCGTGTTAATAGTTAAAGTCATTACTGAAAATTAGCTTTTCTTTAACTTCTTAACTAACATAAAACATATTCATTGCAATTCATTAAATTTTGAAAAAAAAATGCACATAAAAAGATATTTAATAATCTGGCATTAAGTGATTTGTCAGTGTGCAAGAATATTAAGAAATATTTATTTAGTTGATTTTAGAATAGTCGACGTTATGAAGAATGTTCATAATGAATTTGAACGAGAAACATGAGACCCTTCAAGACGCTGTGCTTCTAAAGCGATTAATTACATAAGAAAATCTTGTTTTGTGCGCAGAGATCTCAAGAGGATAATGTTCTTAATCTCTATTAGGCGATGTAGACTGAAATTAAGCTGTTTTCGGTTGGAAAGAAGCAATTACTTATTGAATAACAAATCAAATTATTATCTTTACTTATTTCTTAACGTGACAAAAGTAACGTTTCGAATGAGAACGAAAATAAGAATTACAATATGATGAAGCAACATTTGCGAAAAAGGACAAAAATAGCGATTATTTGGGAGTGACGTTTAATTTAATATACCGAAAAGTAATTTCTGTCACACACCCCAAATAATCGCATGACGAAAAAATATGTTATTTTTATATAATTAACTGAATTGTTGAACAGCCAATGAACAATATGAAAAGAGACGCAAATTTAAACGTTTTTATTTTGAGATTTATAAACCATATGACCTAGGCATTATCATTTCCATCTCCAGACTAATTATAGACGTTTCCTCATGAATTATGGATGATACATATACGTATAACGCACAATAGGAAACTTGTACTTTAAACTCTGGTAACTGAAGGTATTATAACAGAAACACGATTTTCTTGCCTCGTCGAAATTAAAATAAACATACATTTTTTTTTCTCGCTGAGTGTGTGTGAGTGTCAGTGTCTGCATGATGATTACGACCTCATATTATTTATTCTTCTCTTCGTGTTCCGCTCTAGTAAAAAGGCTGAGCGAGAAAAACAAGTCCGAAGTCGTAAATACTGCGAGCGGCGGAGATGGAAAATTGGAACGATCGAGGATGAGGATGAGGATGGAGGAGGAAGAGAGGCAAAAATTTGTGGATCTTTTGAAACGCAAACAGCATTCGTATATGTGTGTGTGTGTATAGACAAAACGCACAAACTCACACATTTTCCGCCCACACGTCGTGTGAGTGAGTGTCTGCCCTCTGCTATTTTTAATACGTTTCGAATCCGGAGAGCATGTGCGTACTCCTAAAGTACAATCTTTGTTGGGATAAAATTGCGAAAGTTAATTTTGGATGCGGACAGAGAAAAATTGTGTATATACCAAATGTATGCGAGTGTGTGTATGTCAGGGGAGATCTTAGGAGTTATGTAGTTTCGTTAAATTTAAACACGGGACTTTGATCGCGCACACACAACTCGGGATTATGGAGAGACGCTTGCATGCATGTATGGATAGGATTCGTTGATGGTGGTGGTGATGATAATGATGATGATGGGGGTACACTCTCTCTCCATTCTCCACTTCCTAATATAAGTTTTGACATTTAACAGAGGGAATCTATTGACCGGCCGCTGACATTTTCCTTCCTCACTCCCTTCGACGCCCCGGGGGCTTACGTCACACGAGAACGCTGCATCGCGTAATCTTTAAAATTAGAGTCGCCGCCGTTGTCGTTCATTGAATTACCCTTGGCGCAGGGGACGAAAGGGACGACGAAAACGCTTTTTTCATAAATTACGCAAATTGCCGATGCGTGGGTATAACGGGCACCTACGATACACATTAGGGCAAATTACACTTTGTTTAAAGAGATCTCATGAACGAGGCCGGACAATTGACCGATGCAATTATGATCCGCTTCTAGCAGGAAGAGAAATGAGATTATGTTTCACACTGCGAGACATTTGCCACTTGCCAAGTAACTCGCAGTATATAAGAGATGTATAACTACTTATATGGTTACATAGCATTTCATATTTACAATGATTTAAAATGGAGTTGCTGAAACGGGAATTCCCGGGACAAATTTCCCGTAACTTTTTTAAAGTATGCAAAAAAAACCTAGTGTGTACACATTACAATGTATTTGCTACAGAGAAAAACAAAAAAAATATGTGTGTGACTAGTTAAACTTCAAATGTTCTCTGGCTTCACTGTGAGATAATTGCTTGCCACTTGCCAAGTAATAGATAGTGTACATATCATTCAAGTTTTTTTTTTTTCAAAAAATAAAGTAATCAAAACTAAATCTTGACACATACTTGGCGTGAAGATGGATGAGTTCGTTAGATCCCTTGCAGCGCTTTAGAAATCGATGATAGACTTCTCGCACTCGATAAGTGCAATTACATTCGCACTTTCCATCTATGAGGTTTTCACTTTTTCGTGGCCGCACGATAATTATCTCTCGCATATTCGGTTATGAAGAGCATCATCTCTAACTCACGTTTGGTCTGTACTTTTATCAGGCAGTTTTCACAACAGTTTCACAAAAAAAAATAAAAAGAAAGAACTTGCAGTGCATTAAATATATGATACTAAAATTACATCAAGGAAATATAGAAAGTTTTAGATTGAAATAGAAGAAGAATACAATAAATTACATGTGGTTAATTCTGGTGTATCGAAAGGAAACATTTTTGAAATCTTTATTTAATATTCTATATAAATCTAACAATTGTAATATTCATCAATTTATTTAGACTTTTATTACTTCAGATTATATAATAAGCAATTGATTGGTAAATGAGAATGGATATAAAAGTCTCGCAGTAGATGCAATAATTCATTTCAAACGCCGAAGCTAAATTGGATCAGCTACTGTTAATTATGATTTCAGAAACAATTAATCGATGTAGAAATAAGCGACGATTGCATATCCGATTACGTTCTCCCCCTATTACACCGAACGCAATTTCAAAGAAACGAAACTCAAGGAGAACAACAAACAACAAAAAAGGGAATAGCGCACAATGAGAACAGGAGATCTACAAGCTTGCGCGTGTATTTGTTTACCGGCTACTGCTCTTTGCGGACGGCGCATTGTTTAAAATGAATTGTTATTGTAATTGCTTTTCTTTCATGATTATGAACTGATTGCATACAAGCAACAACAACAAGAACAAAAAAAGCTAACAACAACTACAACGTGCAGAACTGCACCAGATTCCTCGACACAACAATCGAAGGCTGAAATGTATCGATTACCTGTGCAATGTGCAAACCCGAGCGAATTGTTCGAATGCCATTACGGAAGAATGTCGAGCAGAATCACGAAAACTGCATCACAAAAGTAAATCTCTAAAAAATAAAACACAGATTGTGGATGGAACGTTTCCACGCGTTGTTCAGGAAAAGGAAAACATTGACTATTGTTTTCGTTCTAGGAATTACGATGATGTGTTTTTTGGTACAGTAAATCATTTGCTCAAACACGAGCTTTGTCAACATAATTGTTCTTATCAGCAATGGTTTTAGCATAAATTGGAGAAGCAGTTGCTGCGGACCTGTAATTAAGTTGTGAAGATGTTCAAATTAATAGCAATTGTGTTAGCTTTAGCGAGTACCTCCGTCGCCTGGGTTGTATACCCGCCGATGATCGTAGGTTATAACCAAAGCGTGGTTGTTGTACCCAACAAAAGCAACAACAGCAACGACAACTGCTTGCCCATTGGGTACGATGTACCGAATTCGCACAGCCTTTTCGCTGGTTGTGTGAAACGCAACGACACCCTCCTCTTCTCGACCGTAAGTAACCTTTATTTTTAATTTCTTATACCGAAAGGACCTAAAAGTTTGATTTGCATAAGAAACAAAAAAAATACCTCTCTAATAATACAGCACACGAACAACGGTGTGGGACGTTAAGAAATCGTAAACAAACCCGTCCTCGGCATCAATCAAAGTAATTTACAGCTGAAGCATTAAAATCTCTCTCGTGATTTATAACCGCGTTTAGATAAAGAATGAATAATATGATTGCGCGACTTTGAAAAAAGAAGTAAATGATTTACAGTGAATCCTTTTTTTTTCCATTGAACCTTCAATTAATAATAATAATTATCAAATCTCTCTCTCCGTAGTTCGTCAATAAACCTGCCCATTGGTACAAGACCAACAACAAAGTCCTGTACTACGCACCTGGATACTACAGAAACACGACTATAACAGGGATCAGGTGTTACGACTTGAAAGGAAATAATTCCGATGGTTATGCTAACGTGCTTTACGGTGGAGTCGGATATAGGGATGCCAAAATCAGACTATTCAATACGATGGCGAACAGAAAACTCAACTTCAGAGTCGAGATTTATGGACACCCATAACATCGTAACGTAACCTCTTGAATAAGTAACAAATAACTTTAACAAAAACACTATAAACTAACCAAGATAACAAATTAATTATCATTTGATTATACAGTTTTTGTAGAAAACACTTATATAATTAGTTATATTTATTGTCCTTATCTGTAGAGACGAATGTTCATAATACGAATAATTGTAATAAAATATGTAAAATAAAATACAACTTTAACCACAAGCTGAAATATAGTTTTTAATTTAATTACACAAATGTAGTACAATGATACTAATTAACTTATTAAATACTTGTCAATTAACACATTGTTTACACGAAATTTGCATAGTTTCCATGACAACAATTGTTTACTTCAAAATACTTGCGGTTCTACAAATATTCAATATTTATAAAAAAAAAATATAGAAGTAACCAACTGCATTAAATAATAAAATTAACTGAAAATGATGCATAAGTGTACAAAAAAAACTAATAATAATTACTATAACATTTTGATAAACATTTAACAGATGATGAAATCGATTTAACTATTAATATTTACGAATCAACGTTTGTAGACTCATCGCTCGGAGATCTGCAAACAGTGAGTGAAAATGCAGTTTCGAGAGGAAAAGAAAACACTTTCGAGCAGATAGTTTTCCCTTGAATGTAAGCGAAAGAAAAAAAAAAGCGAATTTCCACGGGCGAGCGATGCGACGTTTCAATGTAGGAGAAAAATGAAATGGGAAAATTTCTCGGCTTCGAGCGGTTTTCCACTGGCAATAAATATGACGAGTGAAAATGAGGCGACGATTAATGAACACGGTGACACTATTATGCCTCTCCGTTAGGTTTTTCTGCGCCTCAAACTCAATCCATGTTTGTAGTTTGCAGGGCTTTCGATATCGGAACTAATGCGGTGTAAAGACGAAACGAAAAAGAATAGAAACTGCAGCGGATCGATCGGAGGGCGCACAAAGGGATTTTCATATAAACTGTGCATTTATTTATTCATGTGTATGAATATCGAGAAAGGAAAGAATCAAATATTTTTTTTAGGTAAATCCGTCCGAAAATAAATCTACTTGCAGTGGCAATAATCATCGCACCTCGTGCAGTGAGAGAGAACGAGTGAAAGATGCTGGTGCAGCTTCAACGCACATCTCTCGTCGTCACAGGAATAAACACATGATTCACATGAATCGTCGTGTGTGCGTTTTGCAACTTTCCGCTATGCGAAATGAGCATTTCTCTACCCAAAATAAAGCCGAAATGCGCATCACCTTCACCCGGAATTTTAGAAACGAATTTAAATCTATTTTCAGATCCTACATACAATTGCCAAAATATTAAATACAAATTTTTCTTACCACAATTTTTAATTAATTAATTAAATAAAGTTATGTGTTGTTCTCATAAACAGAAAACTCAATATGAAATTATGATTATGAAAACTCATTATGAAAAACTTGTTTCTTGATGTGATATTTCTGGATCTGATGACAAGACCTAGTACATTCCCTAGTGGAAGCACTAGAAACAATTGGAAATAGGACAGATCCATCGTCTATAAACTTTGGCTTCATTAACTTAACATTATTAGAAAAAAAAAGTGACAACAGAATGTTTGTTTTGATATTAAAGGTTCTGGTGATAATATACACATATTAAACTTAAATCAGTCCAAATATAGGTCTAAACATTTCTAAACACGAAATCAATCTGGGAAGTTAATCTTGAAGTTAAATTAAAAAAAACAGTTCTCTAAAGACAAACTGCTATTATTACTTTTTTTTTATTATTGTTCCAACCTACTGTAAATATGTTAATGATATAGAATTTCCGAATTAAAATGATCCTCGATGGACAACATAACGAGAAACCCACCTCCAAATTAGCGAGGTTATTCACTGACGAGAGAACGCTGTACGAATTTGAATTGTTTTCATTTAAAAAGGCAGCCAACTAAAATAATATTATTGTGACGAAGACTTATTTCTTATATTTCGTGAGTTTATATGTTATTAAAAGAAATATTGTTTATTTTTGTCTGAAATGAAGTATATTAGTTTAAAACAAAGCAATTTGCAAATGGAGTTCAACTAACATGTTAACATTTACTGTAATAAAGTCAATATTCATGCAGAACTCTACAATATTTAGTGTGAAAATGTGGGACAATACTAAGTGCATCGATTAGCATCCTCTTAGCACATATCGAACGAGTTACACATATTTCTCGGATAGAAAAACCTTGCTTATAAAATCAGTAAATTCTCTATATTAATTATTGCAAGAAAGTTTCTATTTATTGTACATTTGATTTGTTAAAAACAATTAATGCATTTATTCTAAATAAAAGTGAAACCTAATAACAAATCAGTGTATTTATGTTGCCAATTAAAAACAAATAGTTTATTTTTTTTGAGTGAGTATTATTTTTAAACCGTTTTTGGTTTCTGAATCATTCTAAAAACGATTGCGTCGAATCTGGGTCGTTCGCTAGGAAAGGTGAAGAACCACTGATCCAGACTAGAGCAGCGTGTTCCATGACTTCCTCCTCTGCATAATTCCATAAAGGAAAATTTAGGTCAAACGAAAACCGATCGATTTCCTTTCTTAATCAACTCTCGGCATTATCAATTTCCGATAATTGTACGACTTCCATCCATGCATCGCGCAAGAACGAAGCCTGTGGGAATATAACGAGCGCGCACTCATCATTATGCTTGTTGTTCCATCTAATTTCCCATGCCGACAATTCCAATGTCGTTTCACGCAATAAGAAAAACGGACGAGGAAGAAGGAGCGAAAAAAATCAATGCGAGAAAACGTTAACGAAGGACGTCAACAACTACAAAAAAGAAATGTTATTATTATATGTGGAGTGCACATTTCGTAATTGCTTCATTCGAAATATATCGATTCGCTCTCGCAGTTTTCGGTCTGCCCACGCATTGAAATCTCCCGAAAAATTGGAACATTTCCAAGCACGCAAACCGATGAAATATGAATGTATGCATAATAAGGCGAACGCAAAGAGAGGCGGCGCACCTCTAGAAAACGCTCGTCAATTAATGCTGGAAGAGGTGCGCGCTTTGATCATTTCTTTTTAACGCGAGGAAAAGAAAATGCTGGGAAGAAATCTGAAAACCTAATGCGTTTTGTATGCAAAACGGCGTTTAGGAAACAATGATCGCGCGCCTTGCGCAACGACAAGAAACACTGAATAATCTCTACCGAAGAAACGGATAATTAGAGCTGTGAAACAATGGAAATTAATACGCTGAAAACCTGATACAAAAATTAGTTTTCAGTTTCCTAAACTGCTACATGATGATAGAAAGAATTAACAGCATACATAATTCGTTTAATCCGCGTCCAAAAGCATACGAACAAAAATTACAAAAGTAATTTGAGATTCATTAGATTTGATGCAATCATCGTTAGTGCATATTATTCGGACCAGAAACACTGAATAATCCTCCGGATAATTTGAGTTGTGAAACAATGGAAATTAGCACGCTGAAAAGCTGATACAAATTGAAAACTGAAATCCAACATTCATCATCCAATAGGATATGCGTTCTCAAATGCAATTACGTTTCAGTTTCCTAAACAGCATCAACTGCTACATGATGATAAATAGAACACTAAAGTATTAATGCACACATAACCCACATTACTGCATTCCTTCATTTCCGAAACAACTTTTAATTAGTTGAAACCGCGCTCAAAACGAAACTTTCCAAAAAAAAAAAATAATAATTTGCAACGTACATTTCATTCCATGCATTAGAAAATTTTGCATTATTCCCGTAATTTGAATCATAAGTTTCGTGCCATTACCAATCATCGTTAGTGCACATATTATTCGGAACAGACGTCTTCTTGCCTTAATTGGTAATTCTGCAGAGTAATAACGACCAACAAAACGGAAGAGAACATGCGCATATTTCGTGCACAAATCATGCAATGATTTATTTATAACACGAAAGAGCGAGCGTTCGCGCCGTGGAACAGAACAATGTTCTTAGCATTTGCATTGTAATTACTTTGGAGTGTGTTTGTGTGTACAGTTAATAACAATAATAATGACGGGCGGTTTTAATTGAAATTCCGAAAGTAACGAAACCTGGGATCATTATAAAATGGAAATTAATATGCTGAAAGTATAAAAAAATGCAGACTCCATCCACTTCAATGACGTCCAACGCAGACACATCGACTAAACGCTTTGTGTGTGGGCACATATATAGTCAATGAGTATGGATGTAGACAGAGAGAGAGAGAGTGAATTGCAAACATTCAATGCCCAAACACGATCAATATGAACGGTCTCTCCCCAAAAACGCTCCAAATATAGATATTGAATACACAAAAACAACTACCTACGAATGATACGTAACGCCAATTTTTTTATTATTATTATTTTTGTTGATAATCCAATGAGTCAAGTTCGGATTGGTCACTTATGAAGGGTGCCATTTATTCGTTTTTGACATGAACATGATCACGTCACGATCCACTTACATTTATCTTTAAAAGTTTGAATCATCATTTCCTCGTTAATGCTTTGAAACGTTGTAAACTTTAAAAGTTGCAGTTATTAAGACGCAGGCAACGTCAATCGAGCAGACGAATCATAGCACGATCATAGGTTAATTAGTAAACTAAAACTATAAACATTGACGTTGATGATTAAGGAAGTTCCAACGTGTAGGACTCAACACGCTTCATTGAAATCAACATCCGAAAATATATGTATGTACACGCTACAATAGAATCGATGACTGTCCTATTTTCATTCGCTCTTCAATCAATCCCATTCATACCAAAAAAAAACTTTCAAAATAGAAGCAAAAGTAAATTGAAAAGTAGACATATTTTGTTTTTAAATTACATCACTCGATATGTAACAATTATTATTATTAATTATTGTCAAATATGTAAATTGGCCAAAGCAATTTGGAATCAATAATTTTTTTATTGGATTAAATGCCTCAAGACTGTAATACTCGAATTCGCTAAATAATAAGAAGAAAGTGAAACTTGAGTTAGTAAAAATAATCATTTAGAAAAAAATGTGTTTTATTTTTAGTAAAACCTTTATAAGTGTTACAAAAGTAAGTTATTGAGTTGCATTACATAACAGAGAACTTTGTTGTTGTTTCGTTACAGTTTAAACGACGCAGAAGAAAGAGAGCAAACTGTAAACCGTAAATTGTGAATGCAATTATTGG